CATTCATGAATATTCATTAATAGTGTAGGTATACTTATAGGTACAAGTTTGATGTGAGTAAAATTATTATAACTAGTTAATAGAGAATAGTGATTACTTACATCGTATAAAATCATGTCGAGTGTCGTCTCGGACACCTGTTGCACTGTTCTTAACTTTATAAATCCTATTTAAATCACTTATTACTTATTTTATTTTAACAATTTACAATAACCTTAAAATTATCTAATTGTTTGTAAAAACTTTAAAATGTTCAAGTCAATTTTTAAGTTGGTAGGTATTTTTTAGTAAATACTATTTAATCAAATCCTTTTCTAAACCGAGGTACAGTCCAGCTGAATAAAAAAAAATTAAAATTGTGCGACCATCGACTTAATGCACATTTTATTGCGATCGAAAATTTATTCGAAATTCAAAACACAACACTAAATGGTAACACTAAGAAGTTCGATATTTGAATTTTAAGGATTGTACGAGTGATGTTTTAATTTATGCAAAAGCAAACAATGTTTTTAAACCTATGTTATTATTAATTTGGCGAAGAGACAAGCGTTCTCGCTGGAGGCGCGGTGCACACTGAGGGTGGTTAGCCGCCCTGCGTACTTGGGCGGGGCAGGCCGCGAGAAAAGCAGATTTTAATTCAGTTAGAGACGAGTCCACTGGCCACCTACTTACTTTGTTTTATCACTAGTTTTTGTTGTAAACTTTTGACTTTGGGCCCTTCTGTGAATCTACCTTCTGTGAAATTACTATTCAATTTTATTATAATACTGTATTTAAATTAATGTTCACAAAATGAAACAAACCGCCGTTGGCGAGGTCGTTCATTTAAAAATGTAGGTTGTACCTAAGTACATAGTTCAATTCAAATTAATTAGATATTTTTTTTTAAGGGGGGAAAATCATCGAATGACTGCTCCCGCCTGGGTGAGGCGGAAGGGAGTGTCAGACTCTTACTGACTAAAAACCACCCCGTTCCTTCTCCTGCACGTCGAGCCGGAGCCCCGGTTACCCGTTAGGTTCTCCGCGACAAATTAATTAGATATAGATTAATATAACGGCATAATAATAATTTAATAAACCCATTTTTTTAAGTCGTCGTTTGTTTAAGTATTCAACATAACTACATTAACTTCAAACGTCTTTAATTTTTCTGGAATTGAATCAGCTTATTATCTCATTATGAGTGGTAATTAGATGTAGGTACCTCAATCGACTTGAATTAACGATGAGACTTTGAATTCGATTTCCAGCTCAGACATAATATGTGGTACTCTCTATAGGTACTATTATGATATTAAAATAGATTTCATTTACAATAATAAACCGAAAAGATGGAAAGATGGGCAAAGTAAGGTAAACGTTGATTTTCCCGTCAAAATAAAATACGAGTACTTACGTGTATTAAACATACTTAAGTATGATAAAGCCTCAACTAAATAAAAATATCACATTTTCATTCACAACGTAATATATATAAATTGCTGTCGACCAACCGTGCCACAAAATGGCGTAATATTCAATTGAGGAAAATGTCCACGATTTACAAACACGTAGGAGGGTGGTGCGGGAATTAGAACATTTATAGGTACGTATTATTTATTTTGTTATTGAAGTTACCTATTAGAAAGAGATTTCTTTATAAGCGAAAGTTGAGTCTTAAAAAGCAGAAGTATCTACCTTAAAAGGTTGGCTAAAGAAGTTAGGACTGAATCATTGGACGAGTGGTCTTTGGTTTGCACTTTGCCCTATTCTACTACCACTATTTCTCAAGTTCAGTTTTCTGTTTGAACAGAATAGTATAGTATTGATATATTATAGAAATAGAAATCGAGGTGCGGGAGCCGCCGAGTTAACAACTCCTGAAGATGCTCCGTGGAGGAGCGAAACATGTCGAGTGAGGTTCTAGTGATTTGTTGCATGTCGTGTGTGTGTTCTGTTGAATCTCTGATGCGTGAGCATATATCTGCGGGCGGGAGGGCGGTGCTACCTACAGCGGAATAAAAACGAATCATTTTCCCAGTTGTTAGTGTATTATAGTGTTGATTTCAAAATTCTATGTCTAAAGATACAAGTCTATTTATTTTTAATAATTCTGTGATTATTATGCTCGTTATCAGAGTTTTACGGTGTATAAGTACTGATTTTATAATATCTATCGTGAGACATTCAGAAATAACAAATTACGGCTCAGTAGACTGGTAGACTGACAGCACACGCTGCTCATGAGGAAGAGTCCCTTCGTGACTCGAAACTAGTTGAGCTTTTCTCAGTATATTTACGCGAGTAACTCGTAATTTTTAGTTATTCTGGAATGAATAAGTATTTCGCAATCTATTAAATTATTTTGTAATGCTTAATCAGTCCTAAACTCCTAACAGGCAGAATTCTGAATGGTAATATTAATAAAGTAGAGAATAAATAAGTCGAAACGTATACAAACAGAATTGTTGAAGGGCTCCGTCAACTTCAAACAGATAGCGGGCGGAGCTTAGTACAGTAACACAATTAAAGTTTAATAAATTTCATTAAAATTTTCTTACAAAAGATTAACATTCCAGACTCGCTGAAGTTTTCTCACTGAAAGTGAAGGGTAAGAACAATTAAGTAACAAAAATGAAACTGTTGATGTCGACCTATTTCAGCGTATTGAAAATGTTGTTGTTTGAATTTGAACCGTGGTTCATTTAGTTATCATCATCATATACCATATTTTGCCACCATTAAACTTGACCAAGTTCGCATCACCCCAGTCGGAGACCGCCTTTAAGGACGAGCTCAAACGTTCGATCATGCATTCTCTTAGACTTTGGATTTGTGTTCCGCTAGTCCGCGCATCAGACTCATACCTTTCAACAACTGTACTGTCATCTGCATACCCAAAGATACTGGGCTTAAGCAGGTGTAACCTGCTTTCTTCAAGGCCCGAGTGAATAGGTTGCGTATGAGCAGACGTGCTCCATCGTAAGCGGCATCATCGCTTACCATCAGGCGAGATAGAACCAAACATCGGCCTATCAAATATAAAAAAATCAACTGTTCATGGCAGGCCACTGACAGACTATGGGTCACTTCTATATAACAAGGTTTACTATAATCTCCTCGCTTGCCAGGCAGGTTAGAGATAGCATGGTATCGATGGCGCAGTGGCTAAGCGGCAGTCTGCTGCACGGTCGATCGGTCGATTCCCGCACATCATATTTTTAGTCGTTACCTATCCTAAATCGAAAGTAAGTTATCCTTACTATAATATTATAAATCTGAAAGTGAGTTTGTTTGTTTGTTTGTTCCACCTTCACGCCGTAACTACTCAACCGATTGCTTTGAATTTTTGCAGACGTAAAGTTACAAGTCCTGATTAAATAATAGGGTACTTTTTAACCCGGAAAAAATTGATATTACCGAGGAAAAACAAAAGTATTGGTATAGATGGCGCTGTGTGTATTAGTATATGTCACATAGGCTACTTTTTATTATTTTATAACGCGAGCGAAGCCGCGGGTAAAAGCTAGTCTTCAATATATACAAAAAAAAATTAAAACCAGTTCATCCAGTAATTATGAGGAAACAATGGCTGTACCTAGACTAGAGAATATTTTTCAAGTGCGTTTATAATCTGTGCCCGTGCGAGGTCCCGTGCCGATGAAGCCCGCGCCACGCGACCGACAATCCAATTACATTTCAAAACGTGCTCGAATAGAACAAACGGATTATTCATATGCGCAGTTTCTCTTTCCCAGATTTTTATACTGTGGGATGCGAATGTGGATAGTTATAAGGACTTTTTTTTTATTTGGACAGCCAAATACACCAGTACGACTGCTAAGTAAGATGTTCGGGGTCCGAAAGTTATTCATTGGAATTTTTCGATGGATCCATGACATGATTTGTTTAAAATGAGTGTCACGTGATTGTTACACGGTATTTTAATTTTTAAGAGCAGTTTTCTGACTCGTGCTTACCCTTTTTTTGGATTAAAAATATATTTACTACCTATATAAAATAACGATGAAAATTAATAGTTTTTGAGATACATATATGTATACAATTATACAAACTTATACAAACCAGATAAAGCACTTATAAAGATGAGGGAATGGAAAGCGCCCAAGGACTGCCTATTGTGTAATTTATATGTTACGATGTACAAAAACTGTAATGATTCAGCTGTTTTCCAAGACTTAAATGGATTTTTCGTAACTTAGAAACCTATAACAATACTTCTATACATAATTATGTTCGTCTTTTTTGCCTAAGTATATGAAATAGGTACCTACCTAAATAGAAACTGTTACCTACGTAGTTAAACCAGGGGTATGTTATTCGCCGGTTCACTGCTTCAGCCTAGCCCAACAGGAGACTAGCATGAAGATCTATATAATTTATATTATGTCTATACTTGCATTACATTACAGTAAGATAGCCATAATGTGATATACTTATTGCAAGCTTTTATTTAGTATGTAGCACTTGTAATGACATTCGAAAACCCTATTCAATGAATGTGTGTTCTAAAATAGAACTTCTCGCTTTCTATACTAAAATAATATTTTGCAACAGTATTGTATTGGGCGTAGGCACATACTTAACTTACTTTCTCAAATAATCACCTACCAATACTTAGTTTTAAATTCAGTTTTCAATATTTACAGACTAAACAGGAATGAAATTACAGTCTTGAATTTTCTTCCAAGATTACTAGCAACTTGACATTGTCTGGACACAGTTATAAGACTTGAACGTGACCTTGCGGCTCAAGTTCAAGCTCATTAAAACATTCAACTTGAGAGAATTAAAAAACATATGAAGTTACACTTTAATAATTTACCCTAAGTCGTTACTTATGAAAATGTACAAAGAAAACGATAATTATAATTTAAAAGACAGTCAATAATGATCAATTCCTATTATTCATGACTTTTTACGATTACGATTGTGCTAAAATGACTTTGACTGGACCACCCTTTTTGAAATTATCCAAAATCAATATTATGGCAACCCCGGAACAAACTGTCAAGCTAAATGTCAAAGTATCAATGGAAATGTCAAATCTGTAAACAAGAATTTCGTGGATGTTTGTTTTTTAACGGAATCATATGTGAAATAAACAATAAATAACAGTTTGTATTGAGTAAGAAGTTTATTGAAGTTATTTTAGATGACTCTTGGACGTAAATACCAGCAATCTTCCGGGTAAATGGTTCTCCTGCCCTTGTAGCGCTGTCCCTGTTTGGCGATGCATGAACGGTCTTTTAACGTTTATAAATACGGCAAAAATTGATTTTTCCCTATTTATAGGAATGCTGGGGAGGCTCGTAAGGTATATTCTAACCAGTCGAAGGTCGGGACTCTATCTGGTTGCTCGTCTTCTGTAAGTTATCCTTTTAATATAGAATTAATTTAATCATAACATTAACTCTATGAATCATCCTTTCCTTGTCCTTATTAGTAGTGTGCTTTGGTTTGTTTACTAATTGATTGCTGGTATGTCTGTGCTACTGTTACTTCATACTAATATTATCATTCTATTAGCCAACACTTGCATATTATTATGTTTCCTAATAACTATAGTAGTTTCATGACACTAATTTATTGAAAGTTGGACATAAACAAAGTATTATTAGGGTTTTGTCTCTTATATTAGTGCTATTTGTTGGTACTATGTTGTATATTTCTTGGTAATTTTATTGCAGTTGGCATTTAAAAAAAAACAGTCTTAATTTTCTTAATACTTTCTAAATTCTTCAGGTAAGAACCACTATGTTATAAATTATTCCATATTTGAATTCAATATTGAATGCTTCTTCAACTTACATTTAACCCATTATATCCTCAAAAGCGGTCACCGGTGACCGCTCTAGTCTCCACTAACTACATTATAAACCTTATTTCCAGTGTTTAGAGACTACATTCTACTTTCATATACAAATATGAACAAATTTAGGGGATGATTTTCAACAATTTTCAATGGGTTGAATCTTAGAATAGCTACTTGTTTATGTGAAAAGTGCCATTATTTTGTCTATTAACACTAATTACGGCTTTAAACTGAAATCAATGTAAATAACACCAAAATTTAAATAATGGCATGTATTACAGTCATTTCATTTACTTTATCCATCCATTTAGTTGCAACATGCTATATAATGTGTCTCTACTGACATTTTTAATACTTAAAACAAATAAATACTTTTCAACCATCATGTTGAACATTTACAGACTAAACCAATATAACAATGCAGACAATAATCATCTTTTGTACATAACTTGAAGGATAATTAACAAGTAATTGACATAGAGAATAGAATTGCATTATTACAATCAAGGTACAGAAAATCAAAATCATGAATTAACAAATAATTTTAATTCTCTGTAATAAAACAATTCAACAACACGTGTTTAATCTGCATGTGAAATTGGTACCGGGTAGCAACATAACAAAATTATTATTATTTTTGCCCATCAGGGCAAAAGCCTCCCTGCCCTCCTTCCACTTGTCTCTTATACCTTTCTATTGCCAATCCTTTTCATAAACGTCAAGTTCATCCCGCCATATCCTTCTGGGCCTGCAACAAAATAAAATTACATAACATCACGCCTTTTTATTCCCGAAGGGGTAGGCAGAGGTGCACATTAATATTTACCCATGACTTTATACTTAACAAACACAAGGTATCACTGTGCGACATGATTGAGCCACCTGACTATGAGGAGGTGTGTGACCGGCTCATGGGGGAGAAGGACCCCCTGGCCTACCCAGCTGTGGACATGGAGCTCTGCAACGTGCCTCGCCGCATCAGAACCATCAACCATATCCTGCCTGATGAAGATCTGTAAGTATTTATGGTGATATTTTAACCCATATATCCCCAAGCGGTCACCGGACTGCTCTTCACTAACATTACATTACATTATAGACCTTATATCCAATGTTTAGAGACTACTTTTGTATGACCGGGGATGGATTTCAACGGGTTAAAATAGTGCATCTGAATCCTCTAATAGAGTGGGTTCATGTAAATAAATTGTAATTAGTATATTGCGTCAAGCGTGTCTTTGCATTGTTCTCACATATGCATACAGTATTGGAACATGTATCAGAGACATTGTAGAACATACTTTTTTAATAAGAGTAACGCATGGAGTTTCTTGCTCGTTCTTCTCCATTCGAATCTACATTTTGGAATGAGCACCTAGCTTCACCTAGCTTCAATGACGGACTGACTGACAGACTATTATTTATTTTGTATTTGTTGATGTTTCAAAGGTACCAAATTATGGTTTAATTGGAATCAATGCTTTGACTTTGATTTTGATTGCAGTGTCAGCAATTTACTTTTTAATTTCTTTAAATATTGAAATCAAATTATTGTTAACTAAGTATGGTATCCTAAATTGTTAGTATAAACAAAAAAAAAACATCAGCATACTCTTAACTTTGCGACATATAAGCTAATGTAAAAGTGTTCTGTCTTTTTATAACACTTCTTTTAAATATAGTGTAGTACAGAGAGAACTAAGATATGAATTGAGTAGTTTCCAGGGTATCAAAATTAAAAATGTAATTAGTCCGTCAGTTAGATAATGAAAAAATATTAGACACGTATTTTTTTATTTTCTCGTGTTAAGTTGCAATACTTAAATAAAATGGCGCAAAGTTTAGGAGTGGGAGGTCGTTACGTCATAACGTGCTACAAAATATGACACGCTGTGACGTCGCACGATATTTCAAATTAATATATCGTCGAAAGTATTTCATTTTGTGAGAAAAGAAAAAATACGTGTCTAATGTTTTAAATTAATCTACCTGACGGGCATTAAAATAAAATTTAGACAACCACCTTAGTCTAGAGATTGTATACATATAACAGAAGTAAAGCCACAGACAGCCACTAGTTTAATATAAACCCACCCAACACATATAACCCTGTGATGGTGTATGGCGTGACGGTGGGCTATTTTTGTTGACAAGAATGACCTTTTTTAGTATCTAGTTGAGTGAATCAACACATTTGTTGTGCGTTAAAAGCGTGTAGTCCTATTTTTATAAACTTTCTATTTAAAAAAATGCTAGTAGATTGTACCTATTCCACTGAGGTAGTTTAAGGGCTTTGTTCATGTTCATATTTTTATTCCATAAGTATGGGACTAAATAGAGAATTTGGATTACCGAATCCAGGATACGGGTGTCGACCCTGAATTTGAGACACCCGTTACTCGGCAACAGCTTTGCCGACCACTGGACCCTCTCCAATCCATCCAAGAAAAACACACTAGTTGATTTATTTAAGTTCTACCTGGTCTTAAAAAGCATAGATAAAAGTATCACTGAAGTGTGGCAGAACCCATGGTTCGGCACGAATGGGCCGGCTCGACCGGAGTGATACTACGGCCGAGCAGAAAACCGACGTCAAACAACACTTGCGTTGTTACTGTGTGTTAATTACTCCCCCCCCCCCCTCCCCCAATCCCTGAATGGGTAACGCACTCGGCGATGCCGATTGCTTATCATCAGGTGATCCATCTGATCGTTTACCAGCGTATGTCATAAAAAAAACACTTAATCTTTTCAATTTACATTAACCAGCGCAAAAGCCCCGATGTTTGTCCGCGACTGTATCCGATCCTACACGACGGACTACACGGTGGTGGAGTACAAGTACCGCGCGTACTCGGGCTCCGCTTGCGGCCGGGAGCGGCTCAGTGAGCGCCTGGAGCGCCTGCAGGCCGGCCCTAAGCACCATTACGAGGTGGACGCCGAGCCAGCTAGTATTGAGGAACATCAGGTATGATAAACCTTGCTTGAAGGATAGGAACTCTTTTGTTATTATTTACTCTAAGATTAATTATTATGTTTTCGGCTTACACACGTAACTATTTGACGAGAAACTCGACTAGTTTCAAGCCTTGCTAGAGGCTCATGTTCATGAGCAACAGCGACACGTGACGCAGCAACTATCACGCTGCTATACTATTCGAGTTCCTCGTCAGACGTGAGCCGAAAACATAATAATTATTTTAGTATGTCTTACAAAACTTTTAATATACTCTAAGATTCATCAGCATCGTCAATTCGTCAACCATTGAAAGAGATTATCAATCTAAATTAAGTATAAGTTTAATTGTAACAGAGCGTGATTTTTTTTCCAAAGTCTTATTTAAATTCCAGTTCGAATTAATCACTTTTTATTAGTTAAGAATTCGCAATTCAAACGACTTATCATCTCCAGTCTGAATCTCAACCATCAAGCGGGCGCCAGTCAGTGGCGTCGATGTCGTCCTCGTCCTCCTGCAACGAGACCCTCACTCCACGCGGCTCCTGGGCCAGTCTAGACCTTCGGAGCTCCTCCTCAGACCCACTTCTACCGGATCTCTTTGAAAGGAAACCTCCGGAACAGATTGATGCTCTCAATGAAGCTAGGAGGTAAGTTTCGTTTAACTTTTAGTCACAAATCTTGTAAGGTCTAAATAGACAGATCTTAACTCGTTGAGTACCGGTATTATAGACACAATTAAAGAACAATAGGTCGCGGTCACCGGTGACCGCTTGGTGTTTGACAGTTTAAAATCTTGATAGAAATAGCTTAATAATTATTCTTTTGTATTTAAGTTTATCCTAAAGCATACTTTATTACTATACAATAAAAATTCCACCTCCAGATTAGAAAACCGTCAAGCTGATCTCCTAGGATTATACACTCCGTATTTGGATGAGGAGGAAGCGGTGGAACGGAGACTGGCGGCCGAGATGCCGAGCGAGATCATGGGGCACAGGATCTTGGTGGTCTGCCATCAGCTCAAGTGAGTATATAAGCAGACAAAGTTTTGTTCATTGTGACGTGTCAATAGCTTCATTCAATTCTATGTTACACCACATTTTTGTTGTTAAACTAGCTTTTACCCGCGACTTCGCTCGCGTCACAAAAGGATAAAAAGTAGCCTATGTGACATATACCAATACATACAGCGCCATCTATACCAATACTTTTGTTTTCCCTCGGGAATATCAAATTTATCCGGGATAAAAAGTACCCTATTATTTAATCCAGACTTCTAACTTTACGTCTGCAAAATTTCAAAGTAGTTACGGCGTTAAAGCAGAACAAACAAAGAAACTAACTCACTTTCCGATTTATAATATAAGTAAGGAAGTAAGGATTAGATAAAATGCTTTATTGTAGTCAATTTTGAAATTTATATCAGATGCTGTTCGATTTGAAACCTTACAGTGTCTCACTCACTCAACTACAGTTCCATAATATCTTGACTCTGTATCACTAATACAGTTGGGACTTTATTCTGTGATGTTCTTTTGTGAGCAGACATTCCTCTTATAACATAAGCAGCAAATCCTTTATTTCACTATTAAATCAGTTTTAAAAATCAAAAAATAAAATATGTATCCTTACTATCCTTACTAATATTATAAATCTGAAAGTGAGTTTGTTTGTTTGTTTGTTCCACCTTCACGCCGTAACTACTCAACCAATTGCTTTGAATTTTTGCAGACGTAAAGTTAGAAGTCCGGATTAAATAATAGGGTACTTTTTAACCCGGAAAAAATTGATATTCCCGAGGGAAAACAAAAGTATTGGTATAGATGACGCTGTGTGTATTGGTATATGTCACATAGGCTACTTTTTATTGTTTTGTGACGCGAGTGAACCGCGGGTAAAAGCTAGTCTTAAAATACATGTCGCGGAGAACCTAACGGGTAACCGGGGCTCCAGCTCGACGTGCAGAAGGAACGGGGTGGTTTTTAGTTAGTAAGAGTCTGACACTCCCTTCCGCCTCACCCAGGCGTGAGCAGTCATTCGATGATTTTCCGCCCTTAAAGAAAAAAAAAAGTCTTAAAATACATATACAACTAACATCATATTCCCAATCCAGGCTGGAGCTAGACGTGGAGCCTCTGTTCGCGTCCATGGCGGTGTACGACGCGAAGGAGAAGAAGAAACTGTCGGAGAACTTCTACTTCAACCTGAACTCGGAGTGCACGCGCCAGATGTTGTCCGCGCACGTGGCGCACGCCGACCTGTCCACGCTCAGCCGCAGCGCCGTCTTCGACCTCGTCAACCCCTCGCCAGACATGTTCCTCGTCGTCCGCGTCGAGAAAGTCCTCCAAGGCGATGTCAATGAGTGTGTTGAACCGTATATCAAGGACGATAAGGTTGGGTTTTGTTAAAATGTTTTATTGTTGAGATGTATGCATTTTATAATGTACAAAAAACTGTGGTAAAATCTGATTAATTGAGTGAATGAATAACATTCCGCCTTTTATCACCGATGGGGTAGGCAGAGGTGCACATTATACCACTGTACAATGTAACACCCACTTTTCACTGTTTATGTTATGAGTCCCAAGTAACAGGGGGTGAGTCTATTGCCATATACTGGGCACAAGTCCAGACTCCGTGCTACTACTGAGAATTTTCTTAAAAACCGAGTAATACTTTGCCCGACCCAGGAATCGGACCCGAGACCCCTTGCCCGGCAGTCGCACTTGCGACCACTCGGCCAACGAGGCAGTCTGATTAATTTTATAACGTAATTAGAAATAGTTGCTCATCTGTTTGAAACACATTAAACATTTTTTCACTATACAGACCTTGGCCAACATCTAGTGACAATGTCAATCATATTTTAATGTGATAGGGCCGGCAAACAAGCCGCCGTATAACGTGATGGTAAGCAATCATCACCGCATGAATACTTAATTGCAACACTAGAGGAAGTACAAGTCTGTTGCCAGTCTTTTAGCAGAGCTGGGCCTCTAGCCAAACGCCACTTTAGCGCTTGTCTACAGAGAGAGTAGAAATCAAAATGTATGGGAATGACACTGACAAGTGTCAAAATTTACGTCAACTCCATATAATTTTGTTTTCTATTCTACATGTAGACAAGCGGTAAATAGTATTTGGCTACAGCTGCAGGGCCATTGCCATAACCCATGGCTCTTCCACAATAATATGTCCAGTACCAACCTCGAGCTGCTCTTGTATAGAACCGCGAGAAGGTCCGCGCGGGCGCGGCGGCGGCGTGCGGTCGACTGGGCAAGTACCGCATGCCGCTGGCGTGGAGCGCGGTGTCGTTGCTGAACATCCTCAGCGGGTCCAACAGCCTCGAGCGGGACCACGACAAGGACAGCCTCACGCCCGCCACCAATACTAATAGTCTCGGTGAGTCAGATACGAAACGCCCATCATACGCTTGATAAAATTGACGCGTAAAAGTGCTGCCTTGTAGTATGTTATGTGTGTTTATAATGAGAATTACGTTCAACACACACCTAACATAATTTTATCCTCCGGCCTTTTATCCCCGAAGTCATAGGCACATTACGGCACTTAATGCCACTGTACAATGTAACACCTACTTTTCACTATTTATATTATGAGTCCCTTGTAATAAGGGATGAGCCTATTACCATATACCGGGCACAATTCCAGGCTACGTGCTACTACTGAGAATTAAAAAAAAAAAACTAGTAATACTTTGCCCGACCTGGGAATCGAATCCGAGATCCCTTGCCCAGTCGCACTTGCGACCACTCGGCTAACGAGGCAGGCAATTACTTGGAGTAATAATCTATGAAACCTAGTTCACGTCCTCCTCTCCAATCTTAACCTATCATTCGTTTTCTATGTTACTTTACTGTATACCTATTGTCTTACAATATTCTTGTTCCTGCATGAATGTATAATGGAAGTTATTAAAGACATTACATCAAAGTTTATTAAAGAAGCTTGTAATAGAGAGATAGCAGTATACCTCGGAGAGGCTTGTGCCATATCCAGATCCAGGTTGTCGAACAAATATCTACTTTAAAAGTAGTCAGTAAGCTGTAAATTTGTATAAATTTACAAAAAATGTATAAGAAATGTATTTCTCAAGTACCTAATCTATTCGCTAAGAGTTAATAGTAATACAAAGCAAAAAAAAAATTAAAAATGTCGTGGAGACTTTTTTTAAATAAAAGACATTGCCCTACACTAGAATTTTCTACCCAGGCGGGAGCAGTCATTCGATGATTTTCCCCCCTTAAAAAAAAAAAAAAAAAACACTAGAATTTTCTCCTGTGTCGTGGGTGCGTTTACAAACATACAAATTCACATACACATGGCACCCAGACCCGGAACAACAATCTGTAAATCACACAAATTGTTGTTTCGTGCGGGAACCGAATCCGCGACACGTTGCGCGGCAATCAGTTGCCCAGCCACCGCGTCAACCGTACAGTCTCATACTTAAGCATGACTGTTAACAGTCATATGGTGAAAAAATATTGTTTTTATATATTAAACAAACTAAAAATGGATGATTGCTATGTTTGGCTGTAACAAATAAATATAATGTTGTGCTTAATTTCCACGCTGACCTGGGAACTGACGCAGAAGGTGCATCTGGTAATTGGCTTTTATTTACTGCTTCGAAATTTCATCATCGTCATCGTCACCATATACATTATCATATTCCCAGATCAACGTGTTGTCGTTTGCCTGATATCCTACTATTTGTTTTGTTAAGAACCCAGCACATGTCGTCGTTTGCATTTTTTATTTTTTAATAAAGTTTGTAATTAGTACCTATATACAAGGTGTAGTTTTGAAGCCGTGTCATTTCTCAGGGGCATGTCACAGAAGTCATATAGGTTCAAAGTAAGAGAAAGTTTCGGGCCAATAGTTAAAAATACGGCTATAATTAATCGTTTAAGTTCGACAGTATTTCAGAATAAGCGACAGCAATGTTTCTTATTGGAGTTTTATGGAATCAGGAATAATATCAATTCCGTGTTTGGGTTTGTGTGTGTTAAGCCGCGTTATAAAAACCAGTTATAAGACAGCGGCGTGTAGTTCGCACTTACGGATTTCAGAAAAATGAAAAATATTTTTTTATCGAATCGATAGCCGAGTTACCTCCTAGAAAATGACGCGGCTTTAAAACAACACCTTGTATAATGCGTCAAGCGTGTCTTTGCATTGTTCTCACATATACGTACAGTATTGGAATATGCATCAGAGACATTGTAGAACATACTTTTTTTAAAAAGAGTAACGAATGGAGTTCCTTGCTCGTTCTTCTCCATCCGAATCTGCATTTTGCAATGAACACCTAGCTTCACCTAGTTTCACTGACGGACTGACTGACAGACTATTATTCATTTTGTATTTATTGACGTTTCAAAAGTACCAAATTATGGTTTAATTGAAATAAATGCTTTGAGTTTGAGTTTGCATATTTATTCGTCATTTACGCTGTATACGTAATCTTGTAACCACTTTACCTAATCACATTTTAAAGTTAATTTGGCGTCACCTGAAAAAGCCATGATATTGTAAGCTATATAAGGTAGTTTGTCATGGATATGTAGTCCCAAATTAAAAAAATAAACATCAAGTATTAAGTAGTCAGCTAAAGTTAATTTAGTGTATAACACTTATATGTCAAAAGTATTTATTAATAATTTTTGTAATAAAGTATAGTCTTGTGTTAAAGATACTAAAATGTATACATATAATAAAATCATAGGAAAGTGAAAACTGTACATTAAATATTTTTTTAAATAATGGTTGAGGCGTGATCTACAATCGATATCGTAGCCAAAAATATGTTTTTTTGAATTTTTGTCTGTTTGTTGAATTTTTATACAGACAGCTGTATATACATACAGCTACATATATATACAGCTGTATATACATATGTATTTAATTCAAATTTTGCATGAATATTACTAACAGTTCGGTTGGACATATAGGCTACATATTATCACGCTATTATCTAAGGGAGTGAAGCTGTGAATCACAGTTCCACGCGGACGAAGTCGCAGGCACAGCTAGTTATATTTATTTTAATATCCTTAAAAGACTGAATACTGAAAAGCTAATTCTGATGACAATTCTAAGTTGTACTTAAATATCGTGCCACCTCTGTCATTTGGCTAAAAATTTGACAGACAGAACTATACTTAAGCGCGACATAAAATTGGGTAGTGTTTCAGTATTCGGATATTAATTATGTATTATCACTACATTGTATAAAACAAGTCGCTGTCCGCCGTCTGTCTGTCCCTATGTATGCTTAAATCTTTAAAACTACGCAACAGATTTTGATGCGGTCTTTTTTAGTAGATAGAGTGATTCTTAAGGAATGTTTATATGTATAATATATGCATATTGCAGCCGTGCGAAGCCGGGACGAGTTGCTAAATATACAATAAATATAGTTTTTAAATATACAATAGTAACTTTATATAATATTTCCACCATCTCCACTACAGACCGTAAAGCGTCCTCCAGCAGTTTGGAGCAGCTCCGTCGTCGTGCCGGCGAGGTGGGAGGCTCCCTCACTCGCAAGGGATCCATCGAGAGACGCGCGCCCACCCATCATGCAGACGACCTCGCCAACCAACTCGACTCATTCAAACCCATCGCTATTACCGTCACTAGCTTCTTTAAACAGGTTCGTAACTGTTAAAGCTATTATCAACTCAATTGCAACAAACTGCCTCGTTGGCCGAGTGGTCGCAAGTGTGACTGCCGGGCAAGGGGTCTCGGGTTCGATTCCCGGGTCGGGCAAAGTATTACTGGGTTTTTAAAAATCTCAGTAGTAGCACGGAGTCTGGAATTGTGCCCGGTATATGGCAATAGGCTCACCCCCTATTACATGGGACTCATAACATAAATAGTGAAAAGTGTGTGTTACATTGTACAGTGGCATTAAGTGTCGTAATGTGCACCTCTGCCTACCCCTTCGGGGATAAAAGGCGCGATGTTATGTTATGTTATCAACTCAATTATAATTCTACAGGCATTTAAGATATACTAAATTAATTATTATGTTTTCGACTTACTCACGCTTGAAACTAGTCGAGTTCCTTGTCAAACAGTTGCGTGAGTAAGCCGAAAACATAATATTAAATTTAAGACGCGTTAAAATAATGGTCAGCTAATCCAGTAGCTTTTTCTATAGCGATTTTCGCTTAGTTTTTGGCTTAAGTATTCTCCATTTGCTAAGTGAAACTTCAGAACTAAAATATATATGATTTAAATTAAAATTATAGGCGTTCATAGAACAAATATATAGTCACTGTTTGACTTAACTCCTGACAAAAATACAATAAAATTTATTGTTAAAATAGTGTGAAATGTCATTGAATCCATGAAATAGTATTAAACACATCTTTACATGGAACCAATATACTGGCCAAAGTCGTTTTACTTCAGTTTATTATAAAACTAGCTTTTACCCGCAGCTTCGCTCGCTTCACAAAAGGATAAAATGTAACCTATGTGACATATACCAATACACAGCGCCATTTATTCTATACCAATTCTTTTGTTTTCCCTCGGGAATATCAATTTTTCCGGGATAAAAAGTACCCTATTATTTAATCCAGACTTGTAACTTCACGTCTGCAAAAATTCAAAGCAATCGGTTCAGTAGTTACAACGTGATAGTGGAACAAACAAACTCACTTTCCGATTTATAATATTAGTAAGGATGTATCTAATTTTCTCAGGAAACGGACAAACTCCGCGATGAAGACCTGTACAAGTTCCTGGCTGAGATAAAGCGGCCCAGCTCCGCGCCTAAGAAGCTCAAATGCATCCCCGGCACGTTGAAGATAGAAGTGTCTCCTTGCCCTGAAGAGCTGAAGAATGGACTCACGCCAGAGCTCGCGAAATTACATCCTTATGGCGGTAAGATATGATTGAAATTGTATTGTAATTTATAGGCTTTTTGGTTTTAGTACTTTATGACAATTTCAGATGGACATTTTAAATATCTGTGGAGGCAATTTAAAAGGTTTATCTTACGCAGTGACCTAGATATTTCTTTTATTTTTATTTAATTTAATATTTTTCTAAAGAAATAATGCGATTTTACGTGCCAACATGACAGCACAACTCGCATCATACAAAATATTTTTACATTTCGAATTTTTTATTTATTTATTTATTTATCGTATTTACAATAAGTACAGAATTATCCATTTAAAATAGCAACCAAAATCCACTAAGGTTTAAACTTGTGCTATCATAAATCAATCTCGAAATCGAATTTTTATAAAATGACGTTTTACAAATATATACGTTAACGACAACAATATAAACAACCTTGGATAAACAAACACATTCCTAAATAACACTTATGTAATATTGCTTATAATTACTATAACTTTACGTTCAACAGTGGGGGTCTTGTGGCTGATAAGCCGATTATACTTAATTTATCTAAGTGCTGAGAATACTTAACAGTGAAATAACATTCCTTTGTAACACTCTCTACCTATCCTTGTCCCTCAGACGACAACGTGCGTCCGTGCAAGGAGATCCTCCCGTTCCCGAGCCAGGCCCCGGCCGTGCCGCACTACCACTACCGCAGCCTGCTGTACCTGGCCGTCAAGGAGATCAACCTCAACGCCTACACTAGCAGGACTGGATCTGCGCGGAATATTACTGTAAGTTATTCATATTTATACAGTGTACTACACCCTTTGATTGAAAAAGAGTAACCTATGGAGTTTCTTGCTCGTTCTTCTCCATAGGAATCTACACCTTGGAATGAGCAAATAGCTTCAGTTTTAATTATTTTTTGTTGACGTTCAGAAGTGTCTTCCTGGTCTAATTGAAATAAATGATTTTGACTTTGACTTTGACCTTATATAAGGCCGTTAACACATATAAAACTCTTTTGTTTATCCATGGACATTGTGATACCTCATTGCATTGGAGGTGTATTTAGATTAGTGTGTGCTCGCTGAATGCTTTTTATTAGACACGGCGACATATAAGGTGATACTTGGATGTATGAAACCAACCGTTTCACTGGTTGAAATGTTATGGCTTCAAGTAGAATTCGCTTAGTAAGCTAAAGAGAGCAGATAAGGTTTTTATGGTATATGCTCGTAAACGAGCTGATGAATAACCTGATGGTAAGCATTCAGCGCCGCCCATAAACACCTGGATCATCAGAGGTACGTTACCAGCGTCATGAGGGAGGGAGCGTAACCTGCAGCTGTAGCCAAATGCCATTTAGCGCTTGTCTACATGTAGAATAGAAAACTAAATTATATGGAATTGACGTAAATTTTGACACTTGTTAATGTCATCCCCATACATTTAGTTTTCTACTCTCTCAGTAAACAAGCACTACTCAAGCGTTGTTGTTACTATATAATAGTGGTATAATAAAAGATATAACCTAAATAAGGTCTTACTATGTTCTATTATGTCATAAGTTTATAACGTCATTCCCTTTCCCCTAGGTCCGCATCCAGTTGATGTCAGGTGAGGGCGAAGGCTCGGCCCTGCCAGCTATATTCGGCCGCAGTTCCTGTCCAGAGTTCACCAACGAGGCGTACACCACCGTGCTCTACCATAACAAGTATGTTAATCATGGGTCACTTTGCTTCCCTTAGACCAAGTACTACTACGAACAATCTTACTGGGATTCCGGTTTTTATTCAGCAAAATCCTGACACTCCCTCTCGCTTCACCTAAGGCGGGAGAATTAATTGGATTTGATGCAATGAGCACAGATCTAGACCTATAGCAGTTCGCCAACAGTTTTTTTTACATAAATCAAAGCTTATAAATCAAGATTACAGCAGTATTATAATCGTCTAGAGACCAAATGGATCATTGTCAACAATGCAATAAAGATTCACAACAAAAACATAAATTTTGTAAAAATAAAGATACAACACACTCAAAAACTTACTTTTTTATTCATGGATAATTTTTCTCTACGTGTTTCATTCTCTTTGCGTTTAGGAACCCGTCTCTATACGACGAGATAAAGCTGAAGCTCCCAGCAGACCTGGGCGACCAGCATCATCTACTGTTCACGTTCCTGCACGTCTCCTGTCAGAGGAAGCCAGTCGCGCCTGACCAGGAGAAGAACCTCGAGACCCCTGTTGGATACTCTGTAAGATACTAGAAATGACTTCTTATTTATGGTCCAAAGTTATAGTGTTTTTACAGTTCACAAAATATGTTTAATATGTTGTCCTAAGTAAAAAATGTGCGTATTCTATTCTGACAAGAACACTCTTAAAACGGCAACAAAATGCGACAATGCTCCAACAAATTAGAAGATATTGAACTCAAACCTGTGACAACAATGAAGCTAGTTCTAAATTAACGATAAACATTTAATCATAATAACTGTATCTATATGTTATTTGTACTTTCTAAGATTATTTAGACACCACTGACAAACGGTGAAGGAATAACATCGTGAGGAAACCTGGACTTATAATTTCTAATTATAAGTTTGAAATCGCCGACCAGCATTGAGCAAGCGTGGTGATTAATGCTCAAACCTCCGTGTGAGAAGAGGCTTTGCTCAGCAGTGGGCATTTATTGGCTGTTGATGATGAACTGTATCTAACACATCCCCTTTCCCTACAGTGGCTCCCTCTATGCCGTAACGGCAAGCTAACGTGCGGTGACTTCAGCCTCCCAGTAATGTTAGAGGAGCCTCCACCCAACTACTCGTACATATTCCCCGACGTACAACTGCCCGGGACGAGGTGGATCGACAACCATAAACCTATATTCAACATCACGCTCGATGCTCACACCACTGTACATCCGCTGGTAAGCATAACTAGTATGAGTATGATACACTTAGAAAATAAATTAAGTATTATGTTTTTCGGTTTACTCGTGTAATTATTTGATGAGGAACTCGACTAGTTTCAAGCCATGCTAGAGGCTCATATTCATGAGCAGCATTCCGCTACCCGCGATGCTGCAACTGTCGCGCTTCTACTGGCAAACATAATAATTAATTTAGCATGTCTCACAAAAGTTATTATATAAATATAGAAAGATGAACTTTTTCTTTTTATGGGATAATTATGATCGGTAAACGAGCTGTCGGATCATCTGATGATGAACATTAACAATAGAGGAGTTTACAAGTGCGTTGCCAGGTTTTGAGATAGGCTCCATAGTCTATCCATCATAGACAAAAATAATTTCTTTTTTATCTTTTAATATGATAAATAACATGAACAATTGATTTCAAAATGAGATCGAAGTAGCTAAAAGCGGAGAATTTAGAATGAGAATAGTTGTGGTTTCTCAATTTAAAGAAACAATTAAATGCATCTAAATCTTAGTAATTATGCCTCGTATAATACCTTCATATTATTTATTCAGGACGGCTATATCGAGCGATTTGCAATGGCTTGCGAGGCAGTACAGGAAGGTAATATACCACCTCGTATTGGACTCGCCAACATGGAAGCCGAGCTGCGGGCTAGGTAACATTTTCTTCTCAATCTTTTTCATATATTATAGGCTATTAGTGTATGAACCTCTTTCGTTAAGTGCTTTAGTTAGTCGTTTAGATTGTGTCATAAGTACCTATGTATTTACAGAAGTGTACCTAACTGGACTGGACTTAAGTGACTAATTAAAAGTCAGCACACATTGTACTTGAATAGTCTAATACTCACCACATCATTATAAAACACGTTTGACTGCCCCGTTGGCCGAGTGATCGTTAGTGCGACTGCCGGGCAAGGGGTCTCGGGTTCGATTCCCGGGTCGGGCAAAGTACTACTGGGTTTTTAAAATAATCTCAGTAGTAGTAGTACGGAGTCTGGAAATATGCCCGGTATATGGCAATGAGCTCACCTCCTATTACATGGGGCTCATAACATAAATAGTGAAAAGCGGGTGTTACTTCTGTGTGCACCTCTGCCTACCCCTTCGGGGATAAAAAGCGAGATGTTATGATGTTATGTCATTATAAAACACAGTTTAGATAAATACTTGTGTCAACAAAGCAATATTACAAAAATGTTTCATTGCCGTATTCCCCGCGGCCAGTATATCGGAGCTGCCGACGGCGAGCGTGGAGGTGGTGGCGCGCTACCTGGCCGTGCTGCTGGACAAGCTGCTGCACCTGCTGCTGGCGCCGCCCGCCCTCGCGGGACACGCGCTCAACATCGCGCAGGACGTCTTCACCTGCCTCGCGCATATATTCACCGACATATCGGTCAGTACATTGTGAAAGCATGAACTGGTACACACGGCTACACATCAAGCTTTACATAACCAGTATAAACTGAACGTTAAATGTGCGGAAAGATGATGCGACGCGACACCAGGATAAACTGGTTTCGTATAGATTGATGTGTGCCCGTGTGTACCTGTTGTAGAGTAGTTGAGCCAAAAATAAGTAAAGTGTGAGCCACCCCTAAGTATCACAAGCAAGGATTTAAGAGCCTTTGAGCATGACGAGTGGGTTACAAATTACAGTTCAAAAGGATCAGCTTCAACAGAGAGCGCTGAATCGCGGTCTCTATTAAATATGCTCTTATAACACTCGCGACTCTACTCTACTCTCATCCGCCCTGAGGACACGGTGGAACACATAGTTGGGGAATGCCCTGCGTGGGCTGAGCAACGCCGTGCCCTCAGGGATGTAATCGGCGACGGCGACCTCTCGCGTCCGGGCCTAGTGCGGGGCGTGGGGGACTGGGATGCCGTCTCCTCCTTTTGCGAAGTAGTCATGCTAGCTAAGGAGGAGACGGGACGCGTGAGGCAGCGAAGCGCTGCCTCCTCGCAACCCAGCCGTCGCGAAGGACACACCGGGCCTCGGGGTCCCTCCCGCCTCACCCAGGCAGGAGAAGGCATTCGATGATATTCGCCCATTAAAACAAAACTACAGTCACCACACGGCACCAAATACTGTACAATAGTAACATAATCTTTCAATTACCTTCCAGAACATGAACGAAGGTGCAACCTGTGACAACCACGGCCGCAGTAGTCTGATCAGCACCTACATCCAGTACCAGTGCACCATACCTCGACCCTCACTCACTGACAGAGACATCGGCCTGCCACTGCCCCCTGCAGGTACAAAACTATAAACTCAAACTTATATAAGCACTCAAACCCACGACTATTCATGAAATATGGCCTTTATTAATAGGGGTAGTAGACTAATTATACGTGTATTTCAAAAGATTACACACGTATTTTTGCTTTTCTTACAAAATTAAATAATTTTGACGACATATTGATTTAAAATATCGTGTTAGGTCACGATTTACTACATTGTATAAGGTAGCGTGACGTATCAACCTCCCACTTCTAAACTTAATTCCGTTTTATGTAAGTGTTGTTTTCTTATACGACAAAATAAAATAAATATGTGTCTAGTATTTTTTCGTTATTTAACTGACGGGTTAATTACATTTTTAATTTTCATACACTGTCTACTAGCCTATTCCTGTCGTGGTGTTTCCAGTGGGGTTCATCAAAAAGGGAGTGATTAGGTTTTTTAAGGGTCGGCAAGGCGTGTGTAATTCCCCAAGTGTTGCAATCGTTCATATGCCACGGTAACCGCATACCATCAGGTGGGCCGTGTGATTTTTTTGCCACTGTCTGTATAAGAAAATAAAATTAAACTTGATCACTATTACATGGACCATCACATGTCTACAACTCAGTTTTGAGAAGCTAGTCCTGGTTTCATTCCTGATCAGCTTCAATTGGGGCTACCGTTTTTTCATCCGTCTTTTCATCTACTTGTCTTTTCATCCAATAGAGAATTAGCTAGTGTCATACCATTGGTTATTAATTTTTTGACAGCTACAGTGATTGGACAAAGAAACCTCTTGCTGAATTATTGACAACAGATGTCTTCTGATTCACTCTGTTGCGGGAACCAAGACAGTTACTCATGTCCCTGGGACGCGCCAGACTTCAGTGTTCCGGTGTTTTCATGGTTATATCTACTGTAGATCCTGGCTTATAGGAGTTACAGCGGTTTTGGGGGGATGGAGCGTAATAGTCCCTAAAAAAACTGGTATTTGAAAACATGGTAGCCTCCATTGATAGTAACAGAATGTTGAATAGTAGCAAGGCTAGACAAGGCTAAAAGATACTTTTATTATAATTTTTTTTTTATTTATTACTTCAATCCAGTAGTAATTGAGAATACCGTGTTCAAACAATAATAAATTTCTAAAATAATGGTGACTTTTATCCTCAGTAATGACGGACGGGTCTTGTAAGATCTTGCACGAGGAGCTAGCGTTGCAGTGGGTGGTGGCTTCCGGAGCCACCAGGGACCTCGCCATGCAGAACTCTTGGTATGTTTTATATTCTAACTTCATTCAAAACTGACACAAACATTGAATCTTATTTGGTATCCAACCTTTTTAAGCATTAAACTGTCAAACACCAAGCGGTCACCGGTGACCGCGACCTATTGTTCTTTAATTGTGTCTATAAATACGGTACTCGACGAGTTAAATAGATGTTATAATAGATTAACTGTCAATAATGTACTACATTTATTGTCATATGGAGTAGTGCATCTACATATGTTATTATGATATTTATAATAGGGTAGATCACAAATTTTTATTTAAATGTCCACCTGGTAGATTATTTTAAAACATTACACACGTATTTTTTATTTTTTTACAGAAACGAATACTTTAGACGATATATTGATTTAAAATGTCGCGTGACGTCACTTCTATGTGTATTTTATACGTAGAAGTGACGTTTTAGCCCTCACTCCTAAACTTTGATTCGTTACACCGAAGTATCATTTTATTATACATCAAAATAAAAATGTACGTGTCTAATATTTTTTCATTACCTAACTGACGGACTACTTAATTAGATTTTTAATTTTCATACCTTATCATCATCCCTATTATGGATTTCAACTGCCCAGATTTTACTACTCAGATTTTTAGATAACAAGATGATAGATGTTCTTACAAACATAAACACACATAAAACTAAAACAAATCTTAATTATGTTCTTTAATTCGTTTACCACAACGAAAAGCCATAATATTTCCTTGTCATCATCTAGGGCCCTATTCGAGCTGATGGTGAAATCGATGGTAGAATACTTGTACTGGAGCGGCGCTCACGAGGCGAGGCGCAAGGCTCGCTTCCCCGACCAGTTTACTGATGACCTCACCACGCTCGTCAATAATGTTACCACGGAGATCATCTCAAGGTGGGTGTCTGAGTCTCAGTACAGAGATAATAATATTTAAGGTACCTTCTCATAGACTTTTGTTAAAATGGTAAAGAATCTTCTGTATTTTGTAGATCCATTTGTGATTGTTACTTTCGAGTTTTCGCGTACCGCAGATTTATCGAATCGATTTGTCTATAAGTGTGAGAGAGCCATGCTTCGGCACGAATGGGCCGGCTCGACTAAAGTGATACCACGGCCGAGCAGAAAACCGCTTGCGTTGTGTTTCGTCGTGTGAGTGAGGTCCTACTCCTTCCCCAATCTCCCAATCCCTAAATCCCCAACAATCCTCAAATTCCTAATCCCCAAAATGCCGGTAACGCATTTGTAATGCCTCTGGTGTTCCGGGTGTCCATAGGCGCCACTGGTTGCTTACCATCAGGTGTTCCGTCTGCTCGTTTACTGGCTTATCCCATAAAAAAAAAGTCGCGGAGAACCTAACGAGTTACCGGGGCTCCGGCTAGGCGTGCAGGAGAAGGTACGGGGTGGTTTTTAGTCAGTAAGAGTCTGACACTCCCTCCCGCTTCACCCAGTTGGGAGCAGCTATTCGATGTATTTCACAACTTAAAAAAAAATCTCATAAAAAAATCATAAGTTTCTATTACTTAACATCTACAATGACGAAATATTTGTTTTGTCCATCTCCATAGATACGGCAAGGACAGTCGCCTCACCCAGAGCCTGAACAACAGCCTGGCATTCTTTCTGTTTGAACTGCTAAGTATAATGGACCGCGGCTACGTCTTCAACCTGATTCGAACCTACTACAAGCAGATGTGCGCTAAGATAGCCTCGTTGCCTGACGCTGTGCCCCTTGTTCACTATAAGGTATACTGGGTTTTATAGTCTAATTCATTAGTTCAGTAGAATCACGATTACTTCTGAACAATGGCCACCCCTGAAAGGGGGATCAGAGGGGGGAAGGTGCCATAATACTCAAGCCTGACAACAGTTTGCAATTATTTTACATGTATTTATTACATACATACAATACCAATACATAGGTCCCAATAATATGCATTTAATTATTTATATCACTTTGAGATTTTATTTACAATTTATTTTAACAAAGTAAATTATGTAGTTCGCAGCCATTAAAATATGACTCACTGAACCAAAGGACAACCAACCCTTTATAGAATAGCTTACAGTGTGTAAAATAAAACAAATACTGTCATGTACGTATCCGTCGGCAGCTGGCGTTCCTGCGCATCGTATGTTCGCACGAGCACTACGTGTCGCTGAACCTGCCGGCGGGCGCGGGCGGCGTGTCCCCGGCCGCGTCGGCGCAGTCGCTGGGCTCGCAGTCCAGCGCGCCGCCGCGACACGCGCTCGGACACGAGTTCCGCTCGCGGCACTACCTGGCCGGCCTCCTGCTCACCGAGCTCACCAACGCTTTGGACATGCAGTAAGTACGAAATAAAAATTATTTATTTTTTTTATTCTCAGCCGTGATCGTCCCACTGCGGGACAAAAGCTTCCCTACCTTCCTTCCACTCCTCTCTATGTAAATATTTTAGCGGTAAAGATTGTCCCGCCATTTCCTTCTTGGTCTGCCGCGACGTCTATTAACGTTAAGCGGGCCAATAAAGTTGAGTATTTTTTTTGTGAAAATTGTGATATTCTTTGTAATTTATTTTGTCATCTTTGTTTTGTTGGGTCCAAAAAGAAAATTATTTATTATCTATAACGTCTGACGTCAGTTTTCGTTGAGTGCGGGTGGATTTTTGCACCGAAAATGTAATGAAAATTATCTCATCTCCGCCGTTGACGGTCCTAAGCCCGTATGTGAAAGGAGGAGGGTTGGTTGAGGAGAAGAGACCCACCAGCTGTAAAAAGGTCAACGTCGAGCATCTGGCGACGGTTAATTAACCCGACAACTGAAGACCTTACAAGTCTAATTAGCTGAAGGTAGGAAATGACCTTCACAACCCGTCAGTCTATCATAGAAGCGGGGGCCTTGGCTTAATTGCCCGGACCAAGAGGTAGAAAACCTCCATAAAAAGTTACCCTAATCCTAAGGTGGGACACGCGCCGACAGGATGCATGGCTTGCGGGAGGCAGGTCTCTAGCGCCAACCTTGGTGTACCTGGCGAACATCATTGTATATAGCCTTCTCACAGGAATGGCGTCACCCTGTGAGCGACCTGTTTTTCGTCCATACTCGTGGGAATCATATGGATAATTCTCAAAATATAAAAACCCCTAACACAAATAAAACACACAACTTAATACAACAAACACTTAATCGTAGCATGTTTGAACGAACAAGGAGCAACTCCCTCGGTGCAATACCTACAGAAAATAAAAATCCTGTAGTTGACCAATCAGCACCTATCGAACAGACAATAGTAATCCAAACAGACTCTAGCGACCAGGAAGATACAAACAAAAATGAGTGGCAGAGAGATAAACCGAAAAAAAGGAAAGAAACCAGTCCAATAAACAACACAAACAAAAAACAGAAGAATATTTCTCAATTTGCTATACCAACTCAAAACAGTTTTGAGTTACTTAATGATGACAACATTCATGCTCAGAAAACCAACAATCAGGAAAGAGTTTATGTTCCTAAACCCGAGCCTATATTTGTCACAGGAGTCATCAACATCACATCCCTTAAAGAAGTACTTAATAAAATCTTAGACAATGATCTTTATACCATGACTACACTCAGATCTGGACACATTATAAAAATCATGCCAAAAGACATCCAAACATATAAAATGATTAGAGAACATTTCATCGCTAGCAATGTTTCGCATTACACTTACCAGTTAAAAAGCGAAAAAGCTTACCGAGTGGTTCTGCGTGGACTTCACGCTTCAGAGGATACAACAGCAATAACTAGAGAACTGGAACACATGGGGCATAAAGTAAGACAAATAGTCAACATTAGACATAGATCTACCAAAGAACCACTTCCTATATTCTTTGTAGACCTAGAGCCACAGCAAAACAACAAAGAAATATTTGACGTCAGATATTTAAATCAAATGAAAATCACAATTGAAGCACCTTATAAAAAAAAGGAAATTATTCAATGTAAAAGATGCCAAAGATTCGGCCATACAAAAAATCAATGTTTCAGACCTTATCGTTGCGTCAAATGTGGTAATGAACATTCTACAACACAATGTATAAAAAAACCTGACACTGAGGCTACCTGTGCAAATTGCAATGAAAAACACCCTGCCAGCTACAAGGGATGCAAAATTTACAAGCAATATAAAGAAAGAATCCTAAAAGTCGCTTCTAAACCTCAACAAAAACAACCAATAATGAGCCTTGACAATAACAAAATAGATAATTACAAACCACAATATCAATTTAAACAAACAAATTCAAGCAAAACCTATGCTGAAATTACTAAAACTGGACAACAAACGTGTACTCTACCTGCACAAAAAAATAGCACTCCATATAACGTGACAAACAACGATTCCAATAATTTCACTAATATCATGGAGACTATGCTAGAAAACCTACAGCATACATTGATTACAATAGTGGAAAAAATGATGGACAAAATGTTGGACCGCATGGTTCAATTAGTCAGCAGCCTTTTAAAAAAATGATTCAGAACCTCCGAGTAGTTACTTGGAACGCCAATGGCTTGACGGACAGACGTCAAGAACTGGAAATTTTCCTTGAAATGGAGAAGATTGACTTAGCACTGGTCTCAGAAACTAGGTTCACATCTAAGTCTCACATAGCTTTTAATAACTACAAAATCTATGCAACAAACCATCCCTCCGGAAACAGCCACGGAGGAAGTGCAGTTATCATTAAAAATAATATCAAACACTATTCCATGGAAGAATATCGCACAGAGAAAATTCAGGCCACGACCATAGTTGTCCTAGAAAAACACATTGAGACAGTTTTCTCTGCTGTCTACTGTCCTCCGAGGCATACAATCACAGTTCAAGATTTCAAAGATTACTTCTCTACTCTTGGTACAAGGTTTGTAAGTGCTGGAGACTGGAATGCAAAACATCTGCATTGGGGCTCCAGGTTGAACCACTACAAGAGGACGGCAATTACACATGGTAACACAGGACATGAAACTGGATTACTGGTCTGGGGGAGAACCCACTTACTGGCCTACAGATAAAGATAGATTACCCGACTTGCTCGATTTCTTCATAACGAAGAACATGGACGGCAACTACATAACAATAGAATCTAGTACTGATCTCACCTCAGATCATACCCCTGTAATCTTGAACGTCAATTCTACAATTCAATTAGTAGAGCCTTCTACAAAAATTTATAACACTAAGACCACGAACTGGGAAAAATACAGAGAGGTAATTAAATCAGAAATCAATCTTAAAACAAAAATCGACACAATAGAAGCTATAGAAAACGAGATTGAGAAACTTAACATGCTTATACATAGAGCAGCCACCTTAGCGACCACTAAACGAAAGGGTCAGCCACCAAAAAATAACAACTATCCTAAAGGAATAAAAGAAAAAATCAAGAAAAGGCGACAATTGAGAAAGGTGTGGCAAAATACAGGATATCCGAGTGATAAAAATGCATTTAATAAATTCTCTGATGAGCTTAAAAAACTCACAAACAACGAAGAGAACGACAAAATTCAAAACATGCTTTCAAACCTTGATCCGACAGCTGACACAAACTACTCGCTGTGGAAGGTCACCAAAAACATGAAGCGCCCAAAAACACATATACCTGCCGTCAACAATAATAAAGGAGGATGGGCTAGGTCTGACCAAGAAAAAGCAACAACATTTGCCGAACACTTGAGCAATGTTTTTAATCCACATTCAGAGAGCTGTCGCGAACATACAGAAGAAGTAATAACCTACTTAGAATCACCAAATCAAATGTGCTCACCACTACAAAGTACTAGTCCTAAGGAAATTTTCCAAGAAATAAAAAAGCTGAAGGAAAGGAAAGCGCCCGGGTATGATTACATAGATGCAACACTCTTAAAGAATTTCCCGTACAAGGCAGTAATGAAACTAGTCCACATATTCAATGCTTGCCTAAGACTTGAACACTTTCCTGGACAGTGGAAGATTGCACAAATAATAATGATTCCCAAACCTGGTAAACCTCTGGAACAAACAAACTCATACAGACCCATCAGCCTGCTCCCAGTCATCGGAAAACTGTTTGAACGGATACTACTTAACAGAATGAAAGTACATTTAAACACCATATTACCACAGCACCAATTCGGATTCCGTGAATGTCATGGGACAATCGAACAAGTTCACCGTATCGTCGACACTATTAGTAGATGTCTGGAAAATAAACTATACTGCTCTGCAGTGTTTTTAGATATCAGCCAAGCTTTCGACAAGGTATGGCATGAGGGCCTTATCTTTAAAATCAAAAAGTCACTGCCACACTGTTTCCTTCAGATCCTAAAGTCATTCCTAGATAAGAGAAGCTTCCAAGTAAAATGCAATAATGACAGCTCTGAGCTCTACGAAATCAAATCGGGCGTCCCCCAAGGTAGCATATTGGGACCTATCCTATACCTCATCTTCACTGCAGATATTCCAGAAGATGATCAAACAATTACAGCGACTTATGCTGATGACACCGCATTACTGTCCACTCATGATGACCCAGTAATTGCATCACACACTCTGCAAAATCATCTTAATAAAGTAGAATCGTGGCTTAAGCAATGGAGGATCAAAGCAAACGAGACCAAATCTGCCCATGTAACCTTTACTCTTAGGAGAGGCACTTGCCCACCGATTAAGCTAAACGACAAAGAAATACCACAAACAGATAATGCAAAGTACCTGGGAATGAACCTGGATAGAAGGCTCACATGGCAGAAGCACATCTGGGCTAAAAGAAAGCAATTAGATGCAAAACTTCGTAGTCTACACTGGTTAATCGGACGAAGGTCGCAACTCAATACCACCAGCAAAATCTTGGTATATAAAGCAATATTAAAACCTATCTGGACTATGGAATACAGCTATGGGGAACAGCTAGCAGGAATAACATCGACATACTGGAAAGATTCCAAATAAATGCTAAGATTAATATTCAGGATACCGCAATGTATAGCAACAAATACATGTATCTCGACTAGCATAAACACTGTTCGTGAGGAAATAGTCCAGGCTAGCCAAAAATACCAGGAGAAATTAGCAACCCATGCAAACGAACTCGCACAGGCCTTAAGTGGAGAGGTGGACTACATTATAACCGACTAAAGAGACAAGACATTCCCAACTCGCCCAAAGATTTGTTTAACTGAGCCAAAAGGAGGTTTGCTGATAGTTCAGCAATTGATTGGCCCTCGAAGAAAACCATAAAATCACCAGGACATGTACTCCAACCAAATAAGTGGCTTATTGTTTTCGAACAGATTGCCATAGTGCAGAAAGGAGAAAAAAAAAAAAAAAATTAAAAAATTATCTATAACATTCATATTACAACTATAAAACAGACATAATACAAGGGCAGTATCATACTAGTGGATTGTGAGTATCTACAAAGCGACGCAAGCGCGTATCAAACACGCTGCGGCCGCGTCACGAATACGCTGCGACTACGCAGCGAGGGCGCGTAGGAAACACGTTGTCCTCCGCATAACAAATCATTTCACTCAGATGTGTATTGCTACACTCACCGTCTCGTCTGAAAAACATGCCTATAATATCCATTACGTTCAGGTAAGCGCGTGCGTAGACGATAGTGCGCGTATTCCCGAGATGTTTAGTATTTTATAGTTACAATTACGACTGCAAAGGCCCTGTGCGCAAGCAAGAAGTTGCATATAACCAAGCTAAGAATACTTTCACGTATAATCGATGTCCGTCTCCAGGTCTCCAGTTCTCCAATGTGCAGCAGTGACAGGTGTACTATCCCTCCTGACTGCCCATGACGCCGACCCTCGACTGTCCGCGCCGGACGTGAAGGCTCGCGTGGCAGCGTTATACCTGCCGCTACTAGGCATCGCCATGGATGCTCATCCACAGCTGTATAGGGGATTCTCTACTAACAAAGGTAATAATAATAATAAACAGCCCGAGACTCTTCAGATAGAGGATTTGTTATCGACTTTGAAGTCTTTGATTTGATTTTAAGCATGCACACAGAAGTAACACCCACTTTTCACTATTTATGTTATGAGTCCCATGTAATAGGAGGTGAGCCTTTTGCCATATACCGGGCACATTTTCAGACTCCGTGCTACTACTGAGATGTTTTTAAAAACCCAGTAATACTTTGCCCGACCCTGGAATAGAACCCGAGACCCCTTGCCCGGCAGTCGCACTTGCTACCACTCGGCCAACGAGGCAGTATTATATTTGCAATATACACCCTTAAATTTTAGTCGTTTTAATCCCATGGATCTGTGGTTTAACTAACAGAATACTATTCATTACAAGCTTGTACTGCGGTGTAACATAAAAAATAAATAAATTAGCAAATGATAAGATTATACTCGCAAAATGTATGAAACCAAAAGTTGCGCCACGAGATAGTTACCTACGTCGTCGTCGGTCGTTGCGTATCGGGCAGTGTAGGTACCTACACGGCCCGATCAAGCATAAGGTTATTGACTCGATCAACTGATGTTTGCGTAGGTATAAACAAATAAATAGATTCCAAATTTTCCTTCATACTTTTACGGGCTTAGGACCGACATAACTGTACTAACGGTTCGCATTATTTATTCACTCATGCGAGAATTGATTCGAGTTATTAAAAAAAAGTACTTTATTTTTTAATTTTATCTTTACAAATCGATAGTGTTTCATGGACCAGTTCGAACCTCCAAGGGATTAAAACGATTCAAATTTAACGGTGTATAAAAATCAACCGAACCTTCACAGTCGCACTTATGCCTTGTTCGTACTATACTAGTATTTTAGTTAAACGGCGAGTATTTTGTCACTCTCTCTCGCTTCAATTTTGGGCCAGAAGCGAGAATTTATACTAAACACTCGCTGCCCCACTAAAATACTAGCACAGTGCGAACAAGGCATTACATGGGCTAAAATGTAACTATCTATTGTTATCGATTCAAAGTTCATAACACACGACTCTATTTTGCAGAGGTACTACAACTGGACAGTGAAATAGGACAGTTCAGTAATTTGTATACAGCGTCATCTCCAGAGGGCGATTTTAAACAGGTATGTTATATTGTTCCTATTTTTTCTTATGTATTTATCTAATATTATGTCATTCATAATATATTACACTTAAAATATTTTTTTTAATCGGCGATCGATAGTGGCGGTTTAGCCAAGTTTTGATTTGTCGTACGTAGTGATCAAAAGGATAAATAAACGAGCTGGAGGAGAGATAAGGGTGTCGGACGTCGGTAACGACAACGGTATAACGTGTGTCATATGTAGCATTGTTTATTACATAAGTTGTATAAGTATAATATCGTCGTACTGTTGTCCTTGACTGTGTCGTTGTACTGTCGTGGCCCGGAGGACTAAGACGTCTGCTAAGGCCAGTACCAATGTGACTTTTCCAAGTTATATGTACTTTTTAAGATTATTCAGACATCACTGACGGAAAATATCGTGAGGAAACTTGGACTTTTAATTTCTAATCATAAGTTTGAAATCGCCAACCCGCATTGAGTATAGCGTGGTGATTAATGCTCAAACTTTCTCCGTGCGAGAAGAGGCTTAGCAGCAGTGGGCATTTATAGGCGATTTACGATGAGCGTGGTCCCCAGGGCGGGCGGGCGCCGTTCAACAGCGAGACGAGCCGCAACCTGGTGATGTGCGTGGTGTGGGTGCTGAAGTGGGCCGAGCGCGCCGCGCTGGCCGCCACCGTCGCCGACCTCCCCCCGCACGCGCTGCACGCGCTGCTCGCGCTCATCGACCTCGCCTTCCGCTGCCACGAGTACAAGGTACCACTCACTATTACTCACTCACTCACTCATGGACTATTCTCACTTATTCACCATCACTCACTCACTGACACGTGATCACCACCACTCACTATCGCGTGATCACCATCACTCACTGTCACGTAATCACCATCACTCACTCACTCACTCACTCACTATCACGTGATCCCCATCACTCACTCACTCACTGACACGTGATCACCACCACTCACTATCGCGTGATCACCATCACTCACTGTCACGTAATCACCATCACTCACTCACTCACTCACTATCACGTGATCACCATCACTCACTCACTGACACGTGATCACCACCACTCACTATCGCGTGATCACCATCACTCACTGTCACGTAATCACCATCACTCACTCACTCACTCACTATCACGTGATCACCATCACTCACTCACTCACTGATACGTGATCACCACCACTCACTATCGCGTGATCACCATCACTCACTGTCACGTAATCACCATCACTCACTCACTCACTCAATCACGTGATCACCATCACTCACTCACTGACACGTGATCACCACCACTCACTATCGCGTGATCACCATCACTCACTGTCACGTAATCACCATCACTCACTCACTCACTCACTATCACGTGATCACCATCACTCACTCACTGACACGTGATCACCACCACTCACTATCGCGTGATCACCATCACTCACTGTCACGTAATCACCATCACTCACTCACTATCACGTGATCACCATCACTCACTCACTGACACGTGATCACCACCACTCACTATCGCGTGATCACCATCACTCACTGTCACGTAATCACCATCACTCACTCACTCACTCACTATCACGTGATCACCATCACTCACTCACTGACACGTGATCACCACCACTCACTCACTGTCACGTGTTCACCATCACTCATTCACTGTCACGTGCTCACCATCACTCACTATCACTCGCCTCACTCACCAATCGTAACTTTCTCACGCACTGGATTATCCATTGATGCAAATATTTATCGCGGTAGTTATCTATGCAGGAAGCTAGTGCTCAGGGAGCTGATCTAAAACCTTTCTCTTTCCGTATCTCTATATACACTTTATTTTTGTATATATGTTCGATTCACAAAAAAAAATATTCATTCACCTATTCCATTTTATAAATAATTATTTATCTACATAAACATACATACATATTGTAAATATAGGTCCGTCTTTCTTGTCCGTCTAACAAAACCAAAATGTTATTTATTATACACTTTTTGTTTCACTGTATCAGGGTCGTAAAGAAATACTGAAGTGCGCACAACAGAACGTGCGCAAGACGACGGACATCAAGGCGAAGCTGGAGGACGTTATACTGGGACAGGGGTCCGCTCGGAACGACTTCATTATGAGGAGGAAAGGTACGCACTGGATGGTATTAGAAACGTTATATGAGACCCTACCTGATGGTTGAAATTAATACCCAATACGAATCCAAAATCTATAAATAGATCTAGGTTATTCACAGAGATTCCATGAAACGAATCCTTATAAAATTACTGCTTCCTTGGCCGAGTAGTCGCAAGTTCGACTGCTGGGCAAGTCTCGGGTTCGATTCCTAGGTCGGGCAAAATATTACTGGATATAAAAAAATCTTAGTAGTAGCACGTAGTCTGGAATTGTGGCCGGTATATGACAATACCCCCTTTTACATGGGTCACATAACATAAAACAGTGAAAAGTGGGTGTTACGTTGTACAGTGGCATTAAGTGCTGTAATGTGCACCTTAGCCTATGTTAGACGATTAGTGGACAATACAAGAGTTAGTTAGTTTCTTGGGTGGGTCACGTGGACAATAAATAGCTATGTAGTGTCGGACATGTGCGTGTGTGTGCAGGGGCGTGCCGGCGCGAGCGGTGGCGCAAGGAGCAGTGGCGGGGCGGCGGGCGCGCGGAGGGGGGCGCCCCGCCCGCGCCGCAGCCCGCGCTGGCCGCCGCGCTCGCCGCCGAGGTCTCGCTCACGCTGCTGCAAGCGCTGGATACCATTGTGCAGGTGCGTAGCTGTGCTTATTCACTGTGTTACTGATGTTTTCTTGTTCCCGCTTAAAAAATTGTTAAAGTATCAATAAATCTATTTACAGTTTTCAAAGGTAATAATACTAATTTTTAGTAATGGATATAGTTAAGTATAACCTTAACTATATCCATTACTGGTAAATGGTACTTTATAAACTCGATTTCGTGCAAAATTCATATAGAAATCTATTATTTTTGATGTTTATAAAAAGTATTGAATATTTACTCGATTTTCCATATCAATAAGCTTAAAAAATTATTTTCTTAACACTGAATTTTATACCTTATGTCAAAATAATTACGGTTTCCAGTCGTGTAGCAGCCTGGAGTGTGGGCAGGCAGTATGTAGCGCCGCCCTGCAGGTATTACTACGCGCACTACAACGCAACCAGAGCGGCGCCGTGCTGCAACATATGTTCGCCACGCTCAGGGCGCTGATAGTCAAGGTAAATCTAGTTCAACGAATCAGTACATTGTTGTACATAGTCAGGCATTCGATAAAGTATGACATAACAGAGTCTTAAATAAGGTTAAAAATATCAAACTTACTTCTTTTTCCTAATTACTGAGTTATTCCTAGAAAATATTATCAAAGTAAGGATTTATAAAATGAAACAAAGAGTTTCCTTTTCTTGTATAGAAGCATTAATTCTATGGATTGTCAGTATGCATATGTGAGCACCATGTTGGACTTTAAGATTTTTATATATTTTTATTTTTTTTTAATTTTAGTAAGTTATTAGTATAATGCGTCAAGCGTGTCTTTGCATTGTTCTTACATATGCGTACAGTATTGAAATATGTATCAGAGACATTGTAGAACATCCTTTTTTAAAAAAGAGTAACGAATGGTGTTTCTTGCTCGTTCTTCTCCATTCGAATCTACTTTTTGGAATGAGCACCTAGCTTCACCTAGTTTCACTGACGGACTGACTGACAGACTATTATTTATTTTGTATTTGTTGACGTTTCAAAAGTACCAAACTATGGTTTAATTTAAATAAATGCTTTGACTTTGAAGAAAAATATACAACTGAATCCACATTATTGCTTGATATAAAAGCAGGAGTTCCCCAGGGAAGTGTTTTGGGACCAATTTTATTTCTTATACATTATTTTAATTATGATTTGTATCGTAACATAAATGAGTATTTTGTTCCCCCAGCTTGGTTGGTCGTGTTGCGGCGAGGAGTCAGGTATCTGCCGCGTCCTGCTGCGGCACTGCGCCGCGCTGTCCGCGTGTACCAGGGCGCATGCCTCCGCCACGCTCTACGCACTCATGCGACAACATTACCAGCTTGGGAACGTAAGCATATGGAATCACTGCGTGACGTTTTCACCAGGCCTTATCATCATTATATAACTATTCTACTGCCCAGAAAATACCACTTCTCACACGCTCAATATTAATTTTTAAAAAATTACTTCAAATAGTTAACCCCATTTACTTTGCTCAGAATTTTAGCCGCGTAAAGATGCAAGTGACAATGTCCCTGTCCTCCCTGGTGGGCACGTCCACCACCTTCAGCGAGGAGTCGCTGCGACGAGCGCTGAAGACTATACTCGTGTACGCTGAGCATGACTCCGATCTAGCTGATACTACGTTCCCGGAACAGGTAAACGAATGTTATGAAGAGAAAATGTGTTTTTTTTTGTGACAGGACCTAAACATACTCATTAAAAAAATGATTTACCATCAGAAATCTTAATTTTAAGTGACATAGGCTAAGCAAAAGCCCTTTATCCTGAAAAAGTAACTTTGATATTCCGAATTTAATTGCATGATATTAGGTTTAAAATACAAAATTACAGTACCTACTTAATGTTGAATCCGAACTCCTTTTTTGTATTTAGTTTTATGTCCGACTACTCGATCAACAAAATAAATATTGTGACTTTTTTATAACATTATTTAACATATTGCAATAAAATTAAACATTTTATCAGGTGAAAGACCTAGTGTTCAACCTGCACATGATCCTATCGGATACGGTGAAGATGAAGGAGTTCCAAGAAGACCCGGAGATGTTGCTGGACCTCATGCATCGCATAGCGCGCGGGTACCAACATAGTCCGGACCTCAGGCTCACATGGCTCAATAATATGGCACAGAAACATATGGAGGTAAGATTCTTTAACTAATAGCAAGTAATTGAATAGTTTTTTTATCTAAAAGTATGTAATTTTATAAATCATAATCGTAAAATTGAAGTGTTGAATAATTATTGTAAAAAAATTAAAGGACCCAAAATTGAACCCTGTGGTACTCCATTGTAAGTTATCAAATGCTTACTGTATTATTGTTTAATGCCATGCTTATTTGGCAATATGCATTGTATGTGACGTGACACATTGCCAAAGCGTCATGAGCTTAAGTATTATATATTGTCTTTTTGTTGTGTTATGATTTTGGAGAACAATATTAATCGAAGGCTTGGTTTATTCTCTAAAAATGGCCTTAATGGCGGATGACAGTTTACCAGGCAACCGCACGGTGATGCCGAGATGATAGAGAGTGCTATAGTATATTTTAAAAGTGAATAATAATCTAGTATATTACTAAACATGGTAATGATACAAATTGGACAAAGTCTTATGTATGTCCCACCCAAGTGGACTACTGCAACATTAGGGGACTTCATGGAAATCTTAACGCAGTCCACCAACACCTTGAGACTCCGAAGCCGACCCTACTCTTTCTCACGGAGACGCAGATATCCTGCCCGGCCGATATATCGTACCTGAATTATCCTGGCTACAAACTCGAACATAATTTTCTGAGACGCAATTTTCCGGTGTATGTCTGTACGTTCGGGAGGATGTCTGTTGTCGGCGTCTTCGCCATGTTGAAGACAGGGACCTGTCAATATTGTGGGTGCGCGTAGACTACGGTGACCACACCCGTATATACGCGTGCCTATACAGGTCTTATAGCGGTGACAGGGAAACAACGCGACTTTTCGAGCACTTGCAATTGACGACTGATAGAGTTATTGAGCAATACCCTTTTGCGGAGTTAGTGATCTTAGGAGACTTCAACGCGCACCACACCGAATGGCTTAGTTCTCGATTCACTGACTACGCTGGGAGGTGTGCTCACGAATTCGCTCTGGCCTATGGTTTTTCACAGCTGGTACATTCTCCAACAAGAATACCGGACATTGAGAACCATACGAGTTCCATATTGGACCTTCTGCGGACCCAACGTCCGAATGGATATTCCATATCAGTGGATGCACCACTCGGATCTTCTGACCACTGTCTTATCCGGACTCTAGCACCATGCGCACGACAGAATCCACCTCGACTAACTAACTTGCGGCGCATGTGGCAGTATAAGTCAGCAGACTGGGATGGATTGCGGGAGTATTACGCATCGTACCCGTGGAGGCAGCTTTGTTTCGCATCAGAGGATTCCGACACCTGCGCAGCTGCTTCTCTGAGGTTATACTGGCGGGTATGGAATATTTTATTCCAAACTCGGTGGTCGCTGCGGGGACGAAAAAACGACCGTGGTTTAATAGGTCCTGTAAAACTGCTAGACAACTCAAGCAAGTCACGTACAGGGCTTGGACCACGGCTCGTAACAATCGCGATCCCAATCTTTCTGTTATGAAACGCGAACTTAATGCTGCCTCGAGGTCCACGAAAAGGAAAATTGCCAGAGCAAAATTCGATTTCATCGGCAGAATTGGCGAGATGCTAACAGGCTATCCCTCTGGGAGTCGTGCTTTCTGGTCACTTGCCAAAGCTGCTGAGGGTAACTCCTGTCAGTCGTCCTTACCGCCACTGCAAAATACCGATGGCAACCTGGCCCACAGTGCAAAGGAGAAAGCCGATCTGTTAGGCACTCTCTTTGCCACTAACTCGACTTTGAACGTCGACGAAAGCACCATACCACCTACCATCCCGCATTGCGGCCACTTTATGGCGGAGGTTAGCTTCTCACAAAGAGACATTTGGCGGGAGTTGCTAAGTCTTGATGTTCATAAGTCGAGCGGGCCCGACGGCATACCGGCAGTGGTTCTCAAGCAGTGCGCTCCTGAATTGTGCCCTGTTCTAACGCGTCTTTTCGCTTTTTCTTACCACACTAGGCAAGTACCGTCTTCGTGGAAGACCGCCTACGTGCATCCGGTGCCCAAAAAGGGCGACAGAATAGACCCGACGAATTACAGGCCTATCGCTATTACCTCCCTTCTTTCCAAGGTGATAGAGCGAGTAATCAATACCAAGCTCCTTCGATACCTAGAGGAGCACGACCTGCTCAGCGACCGTCAATACGGTTTTCGCCACGGTCGTTCGACTGGTGATCTTCTAGTGTATCTCACACATCGCTGGGCCTCAGCCATTGAAAGTCAAGGTGAGGCATTGGCAGTTAGCCTAGATATAGCGAAGGCGTTCGATAGGGTCTGGCACCGGAGTCTTCTGACGAAGTTGCCATAATACGGACTACCCGAGGGATTGTGCAAATGGGTTGCTAGCTTTTTGTCCGGCCGACGCATAAGAGCCGTCGTAGACGGTAGTTGCTCTGAAAGCATGGACATAAACGCTGGCGTCCCACAAGGCTCCGTACTTTCCCCGACGCTGTTTCTTCTGCATATCAATGATTTGCTGTCTGTTGAGGGTATTCATTGCTATGCTGATGATAGCATCGTGGACGCATTTTACACGGGCCGTGCAAACATCCCTCGTTCCGTTGTGGAAGAAAGCCGCGTAAAACTTATGTCTCAAATCGAGAGTACCTTATGCCGAGTCTCCAATTGGGGTCGGGACCATATGGTCCGGTTCAACCCCTCCAAGACACAAGTTTGTGCGTTTACCGCTAAAAAAACCTACTCGTTGTGGCCCCTAAATTCCAAGACACTACCCTTAACATCCCCAAAAGTATAGGTATCCTTGGTGTCGACATATCTAGTGACGTCCAGTTCCGTAGTCACTTAGAAGGCAAGGCAAGATTCTGTAGTGGTTTTTTGAGGAAAGATCCAAAACAGTTTGAGCGGACTTGTTCTGATGGCAGCACGCATGTGTCAGTTTTCAATCTGCTCAAGTAACGGATGTTGCTGAATGACCTGACGAACAATACCAACCAAATGAATAATCTAGTAAATGTTTTAAAAGTGTAAAGTGAATATTTGTATCCAAATCTGTTCGTCCCCGCAGCGCTCGAACCACACGGAGGCGGGCATGTGCCTCGTGCACGGCGCGGCGCTGGCGGCCGAGCAGACGCAGGCGGGCGGCCGCGGGGCCGCGCTACTCGCCTCCGTCACGCACAACGCGCTCGACGAGAGCTGCGCCGACGCCCTGCACCACCATCTCACGCATCTCGAACTGCAGGTACGTCACTCAGTCTACCGACACATACAGACGCAGGCGGGCGGCCGCGGGGCCGCGCTACTCGCCTCCGTCACGCACAACGCGCTCGACGAGAGCTGCGCCGACGCCCTGCACCACCATCTCACGCATCTCGAACTGCAGGTACGTCACTCAGTCTACCGACACATACAGACGCAGGCGGGCGGCCGCGGGGCCGCGCTACTCGCCTCCGTCACGCACAACGCGCTCGACGAGAGCTGCGCCGACGCCCTGCACCACCATCTCACGCATCTCGAACTGCAGGTACGTCACTCAGTCTACCGACACATACAGACGCAGGCGGGCGGCCGCGGGGCCGCGCTACTCGCCTCCGTCACGCACAACGCGCTCGACGAGAGCTGCGCCGACGCCCTGCACCACCATCTCACGCATCTCGAACTGCAGGTACGTCACTCAGTCTACCGACACATACAGACGCAGGCGGGCGGCCGCGGGGCCGCGCTACTCGCCTCCGTCACGCACAACGCGCTCGACGAGAGCTGCGCCGACGCCCTGCACCACCATCTCACGCATCTCGAACTGCAGGTACGTCACTCAGTCTACCGACACATACAGACGCAGGCGGGCGGCCGCGGGGCCGCGCTACTCGCCTCCGTCACGCACAACGCGCTCGACGAGAGCTGCGCCGACGCCCTGCACCACCATCTCACGCATCTCGAACTGCAGGTACGTCACTCAGTCTACCGACACATACAGACGCAGGCGGGCGGCCGCGGGGCCGCGCTACTCGCCTCCGTCACGCACAACGCGCTCGACGAGAGCTGCGCCGACGCCCTGCACCACCATCTCACGCATCTCGAACTGCAGGTACGTCACTCAGTCTACCGACACATACAGACGCAGGCGGGCGGCCGCGGGGCCGCGCTACTCGCCTCCGTCACGCACAACGCGCTCGACGAGAGCTGCGCCGACGCCCTGCACCACCATCTCACGCATCTCGAACTGCAGGTACGTCACTCAGTCTACCGACACATACAGACGCAGGCGGGCGGCCGCGGGGCCGCGCTACTCGCCTCCGTCACGCACAACGCGCTCGACGAGAGCTGCGCCGACGCCCTGCACCACCATCTCACGCATCTCGAACTGCAGGTACGTCACTCAGTCTACCGACACATACAGACGCAGGCGGGCGGCCGCGGGGCCGCGCTACTCGCCTCCGTCACGCACAACGCGCTCGACGAGAGCTGCGCCGACGCCCTGCACCACCATCTCACGCATCTCGAACTGCAGGTACGTCACTCAGTCTACCGACACATACAGACGCAGGCGGGCGGCCGCGGGGCCGCGCTACTCGCCTCCGTCACGCACAACGCGCTCGACGAGAGCTGCGCCGACGCCCTGCACCACCATCTCACGCATCTCGAACTGCAGGTACGTCACTCAGTCTACCGACACATACAGACGCAGGCGGGCGGCCGCGGGGCCGCGCTACTCGCCTCCGTCACGCACAACGCGCTCGACGAGAGCTGCGCCGACGCCCTGCACCACCATCTCACGCATCTCGAACTGCAGGTACGTCACTCAGTCTACCGACACATACAGACGCAGGCGGGCGGCCGCGGGGCCGCGCTACTCGCCTCCGTCACGCACAACGCGCTCGACGAGAGCTGCGCCGACGCCCTGCACCACCATCTCACGCATCTCGAACTGCAGGTACGTCACTCAGTCTACCGACACATACAGACGCAGGCGGGCGGCCGCGGGGCCGCGCTACTCGCCTCCGTCACGCACAACGCGCTCGACGAGAGCTGCGCCGACGCCCTGCACCACCATCTCACGCATCTCGAACTGCAGGTACGTCACTCAGTCTACCGACACATACAGACGCAGGCGGGCGGCCGCGGGGCCGCGCTACTCGCCTCCGTCACGCACAACGCGCTCGACGAGAGCTGCGCCGACGCCCTGCACCACCATCTCACGCATCTCGAACTGCAGGTACGTCACTCAGTCTACCGACACATACAGACGCAGGCGGGCGGCCGCGGGGCCGCGCTACTCGCCTCCGTCACGCACAACGCGCTCGACGAGAGCTGCGCCGACGCCCTGCACCACCATCTCACGCATCTCGAACTGCAGGTACGTCACTCAGTCTACCGACACATACAGACGCAGGCGGGCGGCCGCGGGGCCGCGCTACTCGCCTCCGTCACGCACAACGCGCTCGACGAGAGCTGCGCCGACGCCCTGCACCACCATCTCACGCATCTCGAACTGCAGGTACGTCACTCAGTCTACCGACACATACAGACGCAGGCGGGCGGCCGCGGGGCCGCGCTACTCGCCTCCGTCACGCACAACGCGCTCGACGAGAGCTGCGCCGACGCCCTGCACCACCATCTCACGCATCTCGAACTGCAGGTACGTCACTCAGTCTACCGACACATACAGACGCAGGCGGGCGGCCGCGGGGCCGCGCTACTCGCCTCCGTCACGCACGGCGTACTATTGGTGTATTGGTTGATTCGTGATTTAGACTCGGATTGGTTCTACGTGACTTTATTTTAATAAGATTTATGGACGGAACACACGACGTGTATACACACCAAAGTATGACAGATCGACAACGTCATTGTGATAGCTGTTATACCTTGTATAATAATACAATATAGTGATGGGTCCATTACTTACTAAACTATTGATATTTGTACATATAACAACTACGACCTTGCCGACTGCCATAACTTTTAAATTTCCTCTATCATCAATATGGAATGATAACAAGTCATCAATGCTCTGTTTAAATCGTGTATAGCATCAATCACTTTAAAAATGATATTTTCAATAACACTATTAATACCATCAAATCTGAATCCTTTACCTCTATATGCCTTCCTAATTCACTTCTTTACAATGGTAAAGCAAAAAATACACAGACATCGCTAAAAATTAATCCATAACTCGTCCCCGTCCAGGCTCTACTAGAGCACGCAGCGAGCGAGCTGATGACTGCCGGCATGTATGAGACGGTGAACGAGGTGTACAAGGTGCTCATACCCATCGCCGAGGAACACAGGGACTATAAGAAACTCGCCAATATACACAGGTACTTCCAAGTTTACTAATTAGTCTTTAATTAGTCTTAGTCTTTAAGTTGGTTAATTAGTCTAGCTAGCTAGTAGAATAGGAATAGATAACCATAGTTGCGGTAAATTATAATTTGTTTTCAAAATAAGAATTTAATTTTTATTTTCGTTAGACTTGTTATTCAGCACCTATTACGCACCCCCGAAAAATAATCTCAATAGTAGCACGGAGTCTGGAATTGTACCCGGTAACATATGGCAATAGACTCACCCCCTATTACATGGGACTCATAACATAAATAGTGAAAAGTGGGTGTTACATTGTACAGTGGCGTAATGTGCACCTCTACATACCACTTTGAAGATAAAAGGCGTAATAATGTTATGTTGTGTTTAGCCACCAAAAGTATGATTTCACAAACATATTGAAACTTGTATTATTCTTTTCACATGCCTAGATTTTTTAATTTTCTAAACAAATTTCTCTATTAACAGACTAATAATAGCAGAAGAGGATTATAGTGAAAAATTATTTTACACGACTGCCTCGTTGCCCGAGTGGTAGCAAGTGCGACTGCCGGGCAAAGGGGTCTCGGGTTCGATTCCAGGGTCGGGCAAAGTATTACTGAGTTTTTAAAAAAATCTCAGTAGTAGCACTTAGTCTGGAATTGTGCCCGGTATATGGCAATAGGCTCACCCCCTATTACATGGGACTCATAACCTAAATAGTGAAAAGTGGGTGTTACATTGTACAGTGGTATTATCTACACCTCTGCCTAAGCCTTTGGGGATAAAAGGCGTGATGTTATGTTATGTTATGTAATTATTTTACATTAAAATGTTCGCTCCCCAGCAAACTGAACGAGGCATTCACGCGCATTGAGCAGCTGCACGGCAAGCGAGTGTTCGGCTCGTACTTCCGCGTGTCCTTCTACGGAGCCAGGTTCGGGGACCTCGACGGGGAGGAGTTTGTGTACAAGGAACATGCACTCACCAAGCTGCCGGAGATCTTCAGCAGGCTGGAGGTATGTATAAAGATAAGCTAATCCTGAGATAATCATGGTCAAATATACATACATATACAGGACTCACTGAGAATCTTGGTCGGTTGAAAAGGTTAGCCATGCTTTAGTACAAATGGGTTGATTTGATTCAAGTTAGTGATCGACGGCATTACAAAATAACGGTGTGAAACAACGCATGCGTTGCGTGTGCGGACACCGCAGGCCCATCACTGTTGTTCGTTCAAAAAGTTTGTATCACATAACAATGTATATTTATTAATCTGTAGTCCATTCATTACATTCTACCTTCAACGTATTTACTTTAAATATTTTGTCAAATATAAGTAGTCAAGTCAAGCAAACTCCAACCTTATCGCCTCAACAACTGTTCTCCCTTCTCAAACGCCGGCACCGACTTCCGTCTGCTCTTTATATAATAAAATACATAAATAGTACTTATATGAAAACTATAAGTGAATAATCACATCAATCAAATGACCTTGTATTGTTTAATATTTTTTTATGGTATAAGCCGGTGAGCGGGCGGATGGATCACCTGATGGGAGGCAATTGGCCGCAGAGATGGACACCTAGGTTACAAATGCATTACTGGCGTTTTGGGAATTAGGAATTTAAGGATTGTGGGATTCTGGGATTGGGGAGATTGGAGATGGGGATCGGATTGTAATTGGGCCTCTGGTAAACTCACTCACACGACAACGTCGGTTTTTTTTGAAGCCGTGTCGAGCCTGCCCATATGTGCCGAAACATCGCTCGATTACGCTTGAATATACAGACACACGCTTGAATTATCGAATTTACCTTACTTCCCAGAACTTTTACGGCGCCCGTTTCGGCGTGGATAACGTGGTGATAATAAAAGACTCCAACATAGTAGACGTGAGTACGTTGGACCCGGACAAGGCGTACATACAGATCACATACGTCGAGCCATACTTCGAGCCACACGAGCTGCGCAAGCGCGTCACGCAGTACGAGAAGAATTATAATATTAGTGAGTTTTGTTTTTGATTGGTTATTTTTTGTGGTTGCTTGGGTTTTGAATAAAAACTTAATATAGTATGATATGGTGATAAATAATTAGAAAATTTTAAGACATGCAATTTCTTAGTTTTTAATCTTGTGTCTGCAAACTATTGAATAAGTAAGTTATTTATTAGATAAGATCCAAAAACAAACAAATAAATGCCGGAATTTTAAAAGAATGTTAAACCCTTAACAGTTCATTTCTAAATCATTATGTGACAATACTATTAAAATTTGGTCAGCCGTTTATAGATATTAATAAAGCAAACAGGATGCTTTTAAAAAAATATTGCAAAGAATTAAAGATCTCGTTCTTTATTGGTGACGGTTTCAAAATTGCACTTGTTATCTATTGTTTCGTTATCATAGAAGTCACCACCCGACCTGAAAGTCATTTTTTTTTAATGAAAACGTTGCCCCACACTAGGATTTTCTCCTGTGTCGTTGGTGCGTTTACAAACATACAATATCACATACACATGACACCCAAACCCGGAACAACAATCTGGGGATCACTCAAAGAGTTGTTCCGTGCGGGAATCGAACCCGCGACACGTTGCGCGGCAGCCAGTTGCCCAGCCACCGCGCCAACAGTGCAGTCATTGACGGAGGCCTACGGTCAGCTGTAGACGTCTTATAACTGTAACTAATATATTATGATGATGGTGTGACATTCCACAGAGCGGTTCATGTACGCGACCCCGTTCACGGTGGGCGGACGCGCGCACGGAGACATCGCCGAGCAGTGCAAGCGGAAGACTATCCTCACCACGGCGCACCACTTCCCCTACGTCAAGACTAGGATACAGGTACCGCGGAACAGCTCACTAATATTCAGCCTTCAAAAATTAACTATAAGGCAGAGACAAATGGTTTATTTTCCCTTATTTGACTTGTGTACTGAGTATAAGTATAAAAGTTGCCTGTATTTTCTATGTATATTTGAATTTATTTAACCCATATCGAGATTCAAGATTCGAGATTTAATTACTTGTATTTTAAAAGAAATATTGTTTCAGGTGGTATCACGAACACAAATCATACTGACACCTATCGAAGTTGCGATTGAAGATATACAGAAAAAGGTAGGTAACATAACATAAAATCACACCTTTTTATCTCCGAAGAGGTAGGCAGAGGTACACATTACAGCACTTAATAGCGACCCATCCACTAACGTTCATTCTTGCCGGAATCTACAATCCTTACGGAATGAACGCCAGTCGATTTGCAAGAGCAAGGAAGAATGACGGTATTATAACCCCGCCTCCGTTCCCGTGGCGAAGGACGCGACGCGCTTTGTGATTAAGTTAGTGCCTGTTTATTTGTCCGACGTGATTGAGCGCACGTTTGTAATCATTTTGTGTTCGTCTTCGTCCCGGAAGGATGATACGACCTAAGCTTTGCGGAGATATACCATAGCTAAATTTTAGACACTCATAACTTCTACCCGTAGCTAAAAATCGCAATGTTACTGTAAGGCGCTCTTCGGCTGTAATGCAATTTCTCATTCTGGTGTTTTGTTTTTGCAAATACGGTGTTACCATCTTGAGTAGTTCGTTAAATGTCGAGATATCCATTCTCAAATACTTAGTTCTTAAAATCCTCAGGTTCATCGCATGCCAGATCTTTTAAAAGTCTTATATCACTATATTTCTCCTTTTCTAATAACCATTTTTTTACCCACATTCTATGTCTTCTTTTAGGTTTAAATAGATATTCACTCGCAATAAAACTCAAAGCAATAGCAATCTCTTGCTTACGGGTACACATGTTGTTGCAAAATGAAAATAATCCATAAAGATATTTCAAAATGACCTTCCTTTTAAATGACAGCAATCTTCATAAAATGATAGGATTATAACCATCCACAGACACGTAATCCCTCGGTATGACTAACCAGATGCAAACTGACAGGAATGTACCTAAACGTGTGTATGGTCACTGAAGGATTGTTTTTCCTGTGGAACTGGCGTTTTGTGATAATGTCAGGAGAAAGAACGTAGGATTGTGGTTTAATTAGTGGCTTCAACGGTTTTATTTTATCCTGGCGCTTTTCTGTACAGTTTGCACAACGGGACAAGTCGGAAGAAATGAACGTTAGTGGATGGGCCGCTAATGCCACTGTACCATGTAACACCTACTTTTCACTTTTTATGTTATGAGTCCCATGTAATAGGGGGTGAGCCTATTGCCATATACCGGGCACAATAATTCCTAAGATCTTTTTTAAAACCAAGTAACACTTTGCACGATCCGGGAATCGAACCTGAGATCCTTCAGAGGTTTCAGTTCCTTGACCAAGATTCACCTATTACAACAAATGTTAAGTATGTACTGTATTTCAAAACGATTTATTCAATAAATAAATGTTATCAGATCAACGAGCTAGCAGCAGCCACGAGCCAGGAGCCCGCAGACCCGAAGATGTTACAGATGGTGGTACAAGGCTGTATCGGGACTACTGTCAACCAGGGACCGCTCGAACTCGCGCAGGTAATGTAATATTTATTTAGTAACAACTTACATATTGACTTTTGGTTGCCAGTTATTTATAACTAGCTGAACCCGCGATTTCGTCCGCGTGGAATAGTGATTCACAGCTCCTCCCCCGTAATTGATAACATGATATAATATGTAGCCTATATGTTGACCCGACCTGTCAGTAAAATTAATGCAAAATTTGAAATAAATCCATGCTGCACTTTTTGAGTTTATCCCGGATAATACGTACAGACAAACAGATAAAAATTCTGAAAACCATATTGTTGATTTCTGTATTGACTGCAAATCACGCCCAAAGCATTCTTTTAAAAAAATATTCGATGTACAGTTTTCACTTTCCTACGATTTTATTATATGTATAGATGTGACATGGGAGAGATACTACGGCTTCACAGAGAAATAGATTTTCTGTACTGATTCGAGTAAGGCCTTTGTAGGCTCCTCATATTCTCCTATTTAATTTACTGGATGAATAAAATGCCTTATTTTCAAATCAACATAATAATAAGTTTTTTACAACCTTTTGTATTTTAACTTTCGTGAGACATATAATAATTTGACGAGGAACTCGACTAGTTTCAAGCCATGCTAGTGGCTCATGCCTCATGAGATGGCAATTCATGAGCAACATTTCGCGACCCGCGATGCGGTGACTGTCGCGCTGTTACTGGCTACTCGAGTCTCTAGTCGTTTCCTCGTCAAATTATTACGTGAGTACGCCGAAAACATAATAATTTATTTTTACAACCTCTATATTATAGGTGTTCCTGGCTCCTGTGGCAGAAGGCACGCAGCCTCCTACCCGTCTGACCAACAAACTACGCCTCGCCTTCAAAGACTTCTCCAAGAAGTAAGTATAACCATCACCGTAATTACAAATAAAGTATTTTATTTACAGTACGTTAAGGTTCATATTTGAATGAACAATTCTTGTTTTCAATAATTGAGGTTGTTGGAATAAAGATACTAGAACTGCTTATGTAAATTACTAAATTATGAGTTTGTATTAATATTTGGTTTTATCTATGCAGATGTCACGACGCTCTCCGTAAGAACAAAAACTTGATCGGCAGCGACCAGCGCGAGTACCAGCGGGAACTGGAGCGGAACTTCCAGCGGTTCACTGAACGACTCGCGCCACTCATACAGGCCACGCCTGGACACGTCGCGCAACTCAGGTGATCACATCTTGTCTAATATAATGGTGAATGTATAAAACCTTTTGACGTACCACGCTTCGGTCGTTCGACACAAATGAGTCGACTTGACACGGCCGCTCAGAAAACCGGCGTAAAAACAATCAAATCGTTGTGTTTCGCCGTGTAAGTGGGTTACTAGAGACCCAATCTCATCGACCACCCTCGAGGTTTCATAACGGAATTATAAACAACACTTGATGTTGTGGTTGTCCATAGACGGCGCTGATCGCTTACCATGAACTGATCCATCTACTCGGTTTTAGCCCAGTCCTACAAAAAAACTTTGCAAATATGTATAATATTGCGTCGTACTTAATTTACTATGATTTTACTGATTCCAGCAATGGCCTGAGCAAACACGACTACAAGTATCAGGCGTAAAGAGTTCGCATCGCACGAAGGACGTCACATGACCACCGTCTATGTACCTACTGTTATTTTATAATTATTACTTCGTACTGTATCTTAATTATTATACTCATTAATTATTTGTTAAACTTAGAACAACTTCTGACAGTTCACTTGTGGACAATAAGTCCTTTATTAATGAATGTCGTGTCACTCCAGCAGCTGTAGCCAAATGCCATTTAGCGCTTGTCTACATGTAGAATAGAAACCCAAATTATATGAAATTGACATAAATTTTGACACTTGTCAGTGTCATCCCCATACATTTTGTTTTCTACTCTCTGTAGACAAGCGCCAAATGGCATTTGGCTACAACTGCTGGTGTCGATTCAAGCCTTGAAATCCTTGAAATCTTGAAAGCGGAGAACCTAACGGGTAACCGGGGCTCCGGCTCGACGTGCAGAAGAATGAACGGGGTGGTTTTTAGTCAGTAAGAGTCTGACACTCCCTTCCGCCTCACCCAGGCGGGGGCAGTCATTCGATGATTTTCCCCCCTTAAAAAAAAAAAAAAATAAAAAAAAAAAAGCCTTGAAATCCTTCATCAAGATAAAGTAATCTAGAAACTCATCTAGAATAATTATTCTCGGTTTCAAACGGAAACCTGATTTGCTTATCAGTAAAATTAAATATTTTAAATGATTTATTTATAGGTAAGTTGTGGCGTTGTAGAACATGATATCTAATCGCGTATCTAATACATAGCAATATGTATAAGTGTACACGATTCAACGAAAATCGAATAACTTAATATAAGCGATATTATTCATTAAATATTTATCGATTAACGATTGAAACGAATATCGAAATTTTATTCGCGCACAAACTTTTAATTGTTTGTAATTTAACGTATCTAAATTAAGTACAATGGTCAGTGTTTTATGTCTGGTCATTTGTTAACGAAATACAATTAATATCAATAAAAACTGCGTTATTTCTCTAACTAGACTGCTCTAGTCAATAAATCCATCATGGGTGCAATTTATTTATGCATAGCGGTGCCTATGTATTATCCAAAGTATTATTTTCAATTTTGACACAAAATGCATTTGCTAGAAGACAAATACGAGAAAAATAGTTTCATATTTTTATTTTTAGATTGTGTAACAAATATGAAAGGGATTATAGAACCTTATTTATTATATTTTTGAACCAAAAATGTATCTTTTGCTCTACTATAAAGAGCTTGCAATATACTGCACGATGTTGAAAAATCGTACATATAATGATCTGTACTAATACGTATTTATTTTGTAATCAAGAAATTGAACTTTCTTATATAGGATAACTTGTTTGAAATATTATCTATTTCAATACAATAATCTCGACTGTTTACCTTACAACGTGTATTCTAATTTGATCTCGTTTTGACGTGATTTTCCAGTAAATGGCGCTAGTAAAATATTGCTAGTCCAATCATTTTTCAGACACTAAAGTTCCAAGTGTGTGACTGTGTGTGATTTTACTCTACAAATTTTATTCTACTTAGTTTTGTACGAATATTTGTCGAATGTTTACAAACATTATCAATATATTGTTCGGAGAATCGACTGAATACTGAGATGCTACTCAATTTTAATCTGTGTCGTTTAATAAAATATTTGTAGTGACAGAAATACTTTTGAATGTCTAAAAATTGAGGGGCGTTTGAGTATTTCAAAATGAATCTATTCTCTTTTCAACTTTTGTATGAATTGGAGGGACCATCCTTGAGTGTAGTTGAAGGATGCATATGTCAACAATATTGACATAAGATGTTGACTCATCATCCTTCAATGCTGAATAAGTGGCAAAGATGCGAGTTATACTATGATCTTACTTTATTTTCTCAATATTTTTAATAGAAATTAGTGTAATGTTAATCAATGTATCTATGTGTCTATTATTTTTGTATCTTACTAGAATTAGTATAAATAATGCACACATTAAAACTATTTATATACATTATGCATAACTCAATTATTGAAAATAATCAGTGAAAAATAAATAAGCAAGATTAAAAATACTATCTCCCCAACACATTAGATTGTTAAATGTAAAGAAATCAATAAAACCACCGTTTATAGTATTTTTTCGTATTTTATTCCTATTCAATAATAATAAACATCTAAATTATAAGTCCATGTTTCACTACAGAATAGAAACATTTCAATTTTATTAATAAAAAAAACATTTACATTTACTCAATACCAATCGACAATATTTTTCATTTATTATGTTGGAATTAAGATTATGATCACATCCTAGTCATTCATCTTTCCCATCGAAATCTGAAGAATGTTTGAAGTAAGTTCCAGTTAGCGGCCTACGAGTTTGTAATACTACATGTTACTTGAAACACTCTTCTCTTGCTAAATAAAATTAAGTAATGTTATCCTTATGGAGCTTTTAGACCTAGCCAATGTGCGACACGAGCGTATCACAAACTGTGAGCGAGCAACTTTTATATATTCAAATACCACTCGGACGCAGTTCCCAACATGCTCGCAGGCGATGCATTCACCAGCTCTAGACTCTCCATAAGACGAAACTTAGCGTCTTTTGTGATGAGTAAGTAATTATTTTTACCGAAAAACTACAATCATGCCACCTTATATTAGTCAATGATTATAAAATTCAGGAATAAATATGAAACTTGTGTAACATGCACATACGGATGTAAACATATTATTTTATATTTATTATTACTAGTCTCTCTACAATGACTATTTGCTTCTCACTTTGAATTCTTGCAAAAATATAAACATGGGTGTTATGTCAGCCTGTTCTCCAAATCACATAAAACTATTACATAGAGAGATCAATCTCTTCAACTTGTAACATTAGCTGGTACTTCACTAAACTACGAAAGATCTTGTAACAAAAAACACTTTAAATGTTTACAAATCATTGGAAGATAATGTGAGAGAAGTGTCTTTTGACAGAAATTGCATTCGTAAATAAATAATACAGGAACTCGTTAATCACAATCCAAATTTCATCTGTATCTTTATAAAAATAAACTTATTCAATGATCATGCATGATAAAGTTTAGATGGTGATGAAACTCACCTGTATTTACTTACGTCAGAGCAAAGATCTACCTGACATGTCAGGAATATCTAAGTATATACCAAGCATAATATGCAAATGATGAAAAGATGAAGCCAGTGGCCCACTACTACCACAAAACAACTTATAAACTACACATTCACAAGAATACACAAATACGGACTCTGTCCGTGGGAATCTATCCAACATAAATTAAACCATATCTTCTCACATTATAGCTTTCAAAATGAATAATAGTATTATGAATACTATTGAAATAGTAGATCCATCGCATGTAACACTCCTTAGCGTCGTGTGTTATATGTGGCGTTGACGCTCACGAATCTCCAAGGCGCGGTCGTAGAAATAGTCCCCGCCATATCGGATACTGGGCATGCCACATGCGATTCTATATCATTCGGACTCCGCGGGCGTGTGCCACGTAAGCCTCTCTTCGTAGAAAGCAATCACCTGAAAATAACATGTATCCATTATAGGCCTTATTTCCGATGTTTAGAGACTACTTTTGTATGAACAAATTTTTGGGATTTTCGGTATGACATCTCAACGTATTAAGGTTATATAGATTTGTTTATTATTTAAGCCATCACTATTAGCCTCTTGTATGTTGAAAGTTCTGGGTATAATGTGTTTAATACCGGGAACCGGTATTTCAACAGAAAAAAAGGTTAGGTAAATTATTTAAATACATACCTGTTGAGGACATTTCAGATTAGCAACTCTAGCAGGCACTAGCTCAGCCTCATCAGAATCAGCCCATTTAATTAAAAACATCAGCTCGCCTGTTGCATCTGATGCACCTAGAAACACACAAAACACATTAGTTCTACTTTCTTCTTCTACCCTATTTGCAGTAATTACAAACTACAATATGACGAAGATGAAGAAGAAGTTGACGCGGCAAACTTCGTACAGCCTAAATCTTTTTCTCACCATTTAAACCTTCCCTGGACTCCAATGAACATTTCAAAACCAAAATTAGCCAACTTGGTTCAGCCATTCTCGAGTTTTAGTGAAATTAACGAACGTAAATTTATTTTTATTTATATAAATAGATATTACAATAAAATAATGTGTACCTATAATTTTTTCAGCTTTCAGCCCTTTATCGAAGCCAGATTTTGATTTGTCTTCCTTGCGTTCCCTCTTGGAGTCCTTGTGGTCGTCAGCAGATGAGACACTGGTGCCACGGCCCTTGCGCCCAGAGGAAGTCTCTTCACTGGACTCTCGGACACGTTTTTTGCCACGGTCTTCTGGTTTCTTAGTTTTTGACTAGATATAAAAATATTATAAGATTAATTTACACCAAATAGCTTGTTGTTTATGTATGTGCATAATTTTGTCTACCATATTGCAGTCATTGGTGAGCAATATAGTAGCCAAACAAAATTAATAATAAAACATGCAAAACAATAAACACACATGTTCTGGTTTATTCTCACAATTAAATACAATAGATAAGACAACACTAATCTTACTGATATATTATAAATTATAAAGTTAATAACAAAATACTGCAATAGGATTGTTTTTATGGTTCTCAAACTTTTTAAATTCCCAGACATTAATTTCAACCAATAAGAATGCCAAACGTGGTAATATTTGGATCTTGACTAAGCTGTCAGATGACAGAAGACTGATAACAGATTCCCTACCTCTTTTTCTTTTTCTTTTTCCTTCCTATTTTCCTCAAAGGTTTTGATCAGTTCCTCACAGTCAAGATTCTCCACTGGTTCCCAAGTGCTCTCGTCCTCTTTGTAACCCTTCCATTTCAACAGGTATTGTATCTGGTAAACAAATATGGTATGTTCAATGCAATTGAATGCTATTAACCCTTGGTATGCCGGAACGTAGATATATGTGATACACCACATTTCATATCTTATACTTATTATATACCGCTGAAGAGTTAATTTGTTTGAATGCGTTAATCTCCAGAACTACTTCTTTCATTTGAAAAATTATTTTGAGTTGTATAGACCATTTATCGAAGAAGGCTATAGATCAATAGGCGCCAAGCAAAGCAGGTAGAACCGCGCGAAAATAGCTAGGAATTGATATAATCATGAATGAGAAAGTGAATGATTTAGTATAGTGTGAAATGTCAATAATACAAGTTCAGATTGATTAAATGCAAGGAAAGTTACATGTATAGACCTTCGGCAGAATTGAATACATTCTCAAAGTATAGTACTCAAATGTTCACATGAGCGGAGAGCTCTGACAAATAAATTGTTATAAGTTTGATTAGGACTTTATTAAAACGAAATAAATTAAAAATTAAATTAGATGAACTTTAAGTAGATATTATGTTTCAATCTATCAATCACTACATTGAATTTGTTATCATAGAAGTTTCGCGAGTATCGCGAGTATTTCTATAATGCCACCAACAATAACATGTTCATACAATACAGCTACTAATGGTGCTCTTGCCATGGGTCTTCAAGAATACCATGGTCTGGTCATGGCCAACATGGTCTGCACTATGAACTATGCCAAGTGGCAAGCATCAGTAGCTTTGGGTAGGTATTGTGTTGAATGTTGAATGAAAGGTTACCGCTTTGCCGATATTTTATAAACACCATGACAAATTAGTACGAGCGCTTAACCAACGTGGTTGAGGAAAACAGAAACAATACCTTCTGAATTAGCTTATTCATTAAGTATCGCTAATTTTCAACATCAATTTTATGAAAATAATAGTAAAATAGGGAATTCTTACCTTGCCTTTTACAGTACGTTTGTCGAGAACCTTCTCTACTACATATTCTTCTTCACTTGATGCCTCACTTGTATCACCTCTTTTACTAATATTATCCCTTTTACCCATTTTAAATCTTTTCAATGTAATATATTACAAAGAAATAATTTAAATGGCAAAACACGATTACCGTAACGAAGCGTCAGTCGTCGATGAAAATTCTTAAAATGGCGTCTCAAGGAGTCGAGTCGATGGCCGACACACGAAGCTTGTCAATTTAAACTGTCAAACACCAAGCGGTCACCGGTGACCGCGACCTATTGTTCTTTAATTGTGTCTATAAAACCGGTACTCGACGAGTTAAATAAATAGAAAGTAAATAAATTTTAATTACTTATAAAATACTAATTTATTGTTATACTCTCGTAGATCGAATCAAGACCATAATCTTTAACATAATTGTATTTATTGAAAATAAGTTGAGTCTAATGGCAACACTTCAATCAAAACTACCAACATAACCAACATTAACAAAGGAAATTGTTATCTCATTTTCTATCTTTGTCTACTGATAACTGATAAATTCATACTAAAATGTACAATTTCTTTAAAATAGTGAAATGTGTGGTTGCTTAATATTAAAGGTATCGCAGATTCACAGCAACCAATTTTTTGTAATATCATTCATGCCTCGAAATGGTCTTGAAAACTGGATTTTCATTGCCACAACATTGGGAAGAGTGAGATAACGATAACGCTCTCGTGACCAACTTCACACTTGTTTCATTCATTTTTTTCATGTTCTATCAATCAAAACACGGCACCAGCCGTGAGCCGTATCGCAATCCAATCCGCAGCAGTTTTCATTTTAGTCAATCAGCCAGCCTGTTGCGTTGAGTGTGTGTATTCCAATACTGTTAACGGATCACGTATAAATTTGTGCTATTTGATATAAAATATATCTACCAGTGTTGTTAATCGTGTAGTGTGAACTAAATAAACAACTTGTTACATTAACTGAACTAAAAAAGATAACACGAAGTTTTGTGTCGATTCGAGTGGTTTCAAATTGACTTTTGACGTCACGAGTGACAACCAATCGGTTGGCGCGAAAGAAAAAACTACATTGCGTGTTTTTGTTTTCATCAATCGTGCTTACGAAGTTTATTGTTTTGACTGTATCGGATGGCTCTTAATAGGTGAATGTTTGTTTTGTTGGAAATATGCTTTTAAAATGTACTGCGGACGGAAGGCCGATCAAAGTGAACGGAGCGCCGGTCAATCACGGGAATGGTGCGAGAGGTAAGGTCCGCTTTTTATTAATTAGCTAATTTAGTTATCCACATCTTTCCTGGGTTACACTATCACAAATCACACGAGAATTGAACTAACCAACTTAAAATTGACTACTATTGCGCCTGAGTTCGTATTTTTTCAAAATAATAACAGGGACATTGTCAGCTGTTGGTACTGAACGGCGCGCGGACCGCGGCCTAATCGGCTCTCGTATTATCTAAGTAATTAGGCTAACAAAGAAAACATATCACTAATAATCGTACATTCCTACGACTGTTCATTCGTAAAATACATTTGTTACTGCGTAAATGTCTGTGTAGATTGTAATTTTTATTGCCGTCGACTTATCTTGCAATGACGTTGCTCAAAAACTGGATAGCGGTACCTATACCTTCCTACCTAGCTAGCAACCACAAACCCTTACTTCTTTGAGAAGTATCTAGCACCCATCTATTCCATGAGAAGACAATGCATTTTGAGTGAGTCGGTGGGTGCCTATCAACTGTTTGGTATCGCCTTACCTATGCCTGGGTCGTATGTCGCCTTACCTACCTCTTCGTTATTGCGTTGATCCTGCAGTCCAGCTGTACTCCTGTTTTACGCTACATCATCCAGATAATCAACTTCAAAATATGTCAAACATTCTGTAGGACGTAGGTAGACACTAGTGTCTACCCAAAGCGTGTTGCACTTTTTGTCTACTAAACATATCGACTACCATGACACCGTACATGCGTGTCTGTTTCACAGATTGCCTACCTACCTATAGAACATTACATACCAAGGTACTTAGATAATTATCTACTTCTATCCACTAATGTCTATATCGGACTCTTCACCTTTCCAACTCGCCCTAGACAACAAGGTTTTTATTAGTCTATTACGTTGGGCCGCCCTTGCGACCTTCGGTTGTACGATTTCTACTTTCCCGATTAAAATGTCGTTACAATATTCTGTTACACGCAAGAATCCAGTTATAACTGGATAGACAGAAACTTGAAACTCGTTGCCGGCGATAATGTTGCGCCACAATTTCTTCCCAGCTCAATCGACAACTCTTTTTCCAGATTTAGGTACTTCATAAAGTTCTGTGTCCTTTCGCATTGCCTTTTGCAACTTCAGACGTTACCATACATAATTATATATTTTTTTAATATTTCTGTGGACGTGCGTAACGTCTCAATTTAGGTAGTAGTTTAAAAAATACTAAGAATGTTTTTAACTCGCTTTACCAAAATTCGTCCGTTCCTGCTACTCCGTTACCCCTTTTGTATTGATCTAGGTCAAGTGTCGTTCAGTTTTAACTAAGCCTCATATTTCACTTCATTAATCCAAGGACCGTAGGTATTTACTTGCTGGTAAATTACTTTTCACTTCACTGTCTGTCACTGATAAACTCTGTCTAGTGTGTCGTTCGTGTCGAGTCGAGTTTCATTGGACGCCATTTTATTGATCCCAACAACTTTTAATTTGTTACAATGTTTTACTGGTGTTGCTTTGCCATCAATTTTAAAATGACGACAGTCATTATTCGACATAGAAAACAATTGATTGATTTCTAGTTGTTGATATTTTTGGTAAATTACCATTAACTAATAACTTCAAGGAACATCATAATTAACTATTTAATTCTTCATCTTGTTATCATCAGCATCGCAGTTGTCAGACAAATGACTGACTAAATGAAATGGTTATTCACAAATGAATAACCATTTCATTTAGAAAAACTACTAGCTTTTACCCGCGGCTTCGCTCGCGTCACAAAAGGATAAAAAGCCAATGTGACATATAAAAATATACACAGCGCCATCTATACCAATACTTTTATTTTCCCTCGGGAATATCAAATTTTTCCGGGATAAAAAGTACCCTATTATTTAATCCGGACTTCTAACTATACATCTGCAAAAAATCATAGCAATCGGTTTAGTAGTTATGGCGTGAAAGTGGAACAAACAAACAAACTCACTTTCCGATTTATAATATTAGTTAGGATAATACAGAACAGACACTCTACTACGTTCACAGTCACATAACATCGGCTAAGACGAAGTAAGAATTAAAAAAAAAATTGATAACATTATACAATGATTTTTCATGATATTCTACTGTAATCGTTATCTCTATGAGTCATCGGATATCTTGTACTGGATTACTATTATATGCTATAAGATTACGATACGAAGTACTGAAGACCCGCGCCTGATATACAGAACTACTGACATCAATTACTAAATATGTACTAGGAATCATTCTTTGTTATTAATAAGAATAAATATTATAAAATAACCTCCATAGTTATAATAAACATTGATGGATAATACTCTATAGTTATAATATTTCTATTGACTATTGTAACTTTAGTTACGCTACTGGAGGTCTGGTCTACTCATCCTGTCTCCATGCCAATCCTCAATTCCCCAACAGGCTGACAATGCACTTGTATCTCATCTGATGTTGCGAGTGTCCATGAGCACTTGAGCAGCACCGATTGCTTACCGTCAGCAGACGGCGTTTGCCGCCTACACCATAATACAGCGTTTATGTTTTATTATAAAAATCTGAAAAATATTGAACATAGATAAATGGAATATTGTAGATGTGACGTCTCCGATTGTAACGATCGGATGTTATGAAGATTACCATCACTGAACTTTTCACTGTTGCCTACGTAGGTAGTTCACATTTAGGTACTTATAATCTCCATTTTTATCTCTTCAAAATTCTTATCGTTCGTAAACGCCTAGTGCAGTGCTACTTGAAACAAAATTACTTAATGTTATGATGAAACACTGATTTTATAATGGAATTATCTATATCACTACCCGATTACTGTGGCTGTGGATGCCGTAAAGATAGAATTTTCAAGATGTGTCCGAAACATCCTTACTTATATTATAAATCGGAAAGTGAGTTTGTTTGTTCCACTTTAACGCCGTAACTACTAAACCGATTGCTTTGAACTTTTGCAGACGTAAAGTTAGAAGTCTGTATTAAATAATAGGGTAGGTACTTTTTATCCCGAAAAAAATTTGATATTCCCGAGGGAAAACAAAAGTATTGGTATAGATGACGCTGTATGTATCGGTATATGTCACATAGGCCACTTTTTATCCTTTTGTGACGCGAGCAAAGGCGCAAGTAAAAGCTACTGTCAAATATTGCAAACTAAGTAACCAGAATCCAGACGGACATTACAGTTTACTAGTTTAGCGCTCCGAAGCTACATAGGTACCTACTTTATTTCCCCAAAGACTGGGTAATTCTAATTAGAGTCGAGTAGCACTTGACCCGAAGGAAATGACATTACAGAAGTAAGGTAACACCGCCACCACCGTCCGTTAGGCCACACCTTCAAAGCACATTTGTCTCAATTGACTCGCAACACGTGGAACGAACACCGTTTATCTTTTAATTAAACTCCTAAACCAATAAAAATGTTAAATCAGTAAAGAAATGGTTGATAAGACGAGCATTTCATTTCTTCGTGAGACTTGTCTGCAAATGTTTGAGAAGTGCAACAAAAAACTATGTTTACTTAAACTGTTTCCAAATATTATGAAATTCCCAATTTGTTATTTTGAATCATCATGTCCACTGTTAAACATAGCCCTCCCCAAATGCCTTCTGAATCGGCCGGTTGGGGTTAACCTCCGTCCAGCGGTTTCCTCAATCGGCAATTTGATTTAAATTCCAAAACTACATGTGGTTGAATAGTGTTAACGTATAATAGTTAGCAGTTCAGTGATATTTTCGTAGTTTACTACAAAACGTAAAGTTGATTAATGGCAGTATCATACTTAGTCATTTTTCTTGTCAACATGTCAGTCAGA